TACATTTTAGTTAGTTTGGTTCTCACCAAATCCACTAAGTTATTCAATTAACCCTGTAACTATTCCAAATAAGTCTTAACATTTTAGCTCTTGATGGCAGTTTCAACCTCCTTTGTCCAGTGGACCTAGGATCCATTCAGCACACATTGTCCTGGATGCATAGTGACCCATTTGATTCTTGGAGTTTCCACATACTAATGGACAGAATTAAGTAAAGCAGCCCTAACACTCTATTTCATCTGGTCTTCAACATCATTCATCCAATCCTCTACATTCTTATGATTTGGATCTATGACTTTAACGAAATTGATCTTCTCTCCTTCAGCTGAGAACATAGCATGAATCTTCTTGCTCCCATCGAATTCAATTTGATTGACATTCTCAAACACCTTCCTTAAATGTGGTTACACTGCAGTTGGCTCTTTGGTCTATGATAATATTTCCAACAAGTCATCATTGGATAAGAAATAAAATCTAGCGAATCTTTCTCTTTTCCTCTCCAAATAGTTGTTCAATTCCTTTTGAATTTATTCCAAACTATTATAACCCTCTGTCAATTTCTCTAGTAATCCTTCAGCAGAACAAACCTTCAAAACATTCAAAGTATTCTTTGAATTAATCATAATCAACTTCCAATTCTGATCAACAGCCTTGAATCTCTTTGATTCCAAGGGCAATTGTTTTATGATATCCTAACTGTCAAAAATGGGTTGCAAATACATCCAATTCACCTACACCTTAGCCCAAACTTCAAGAATATCACTGACCTTCTTCAAAGTGCTGTTCCAATCATTCAGAAGTCCTTCAAATGGCTTTTTAAATGGCGAAAAAAGCATAGCTTAAGTATTGACAATATGCTCATCTAGAGTGTTGCCTATATCATCAAATCCTCTAATAATAAAGGAGATGTTCTTATATCCAACTACGTCGAAATTGATCTATTCCCATTGAGCCATCATAGAATTAAGCATTGTTTCAATCTAGAATTCCTTGTAAGCTCTCTCTCCTATCTCCATACAATCCTCCACTATCTTCATCAAACCCATGTCGATGGCCTTAGTAAATGTAAATCCAGGAGCAGGCTTCACTTCCTATCCCAACTTCTGAGATACCTACTCCCAATGTCTTTCCTTCATACCCTACTTCCTTAAAGCAACCATCAATGGCACCTTTGGTCTAAACTCCTCCAAGTAAGATCGAATGTTCTAACCAATTTTCAAAACTGGCTGAATATCCTTATCATTAAAATGCTTATTCACTAATGCAGTGGTCTTGTAAGCTTCTTCCATGAACTTTTCACAATAATCTGCATCCAACTTTTCAAAATCGTCATTCCTCCAATGCTCTATATTCTTAAACCATTGATTGGTAGTCAACCACAAATCTGAATATGGTCTGAACTCCTTCACCATTTGCTATATTACACTATAGTCAGTTTATTCCATCTCAAACAACAGTTCTCTTGAATTGAATTACCTTGCATTCTCTTAAAACTTTTATAACTAATCATTGATTCCTCTAACTCTCTAAGCAACACTCTCGTGATCATCCATATTCTGATATGAATAAAATGTCGAGATGGTTATCTGCAATGACTTCACTTATTCTAAAAAGAAATCCTACTCCTATTTCATTTTATCCTAGAATATGCTCTTCTCCTTTTCTAAGGCCTATGATCTTATATCCACTAATTCCAGGATTTCTTTAGGTCCACCATAGACCTACCATCTTCTTTGAATGTCCTCAGGTTGGAATCTCACTTTGAATGGTTCTAACAAATCATATAATTCACAAGACTTGTCTATATCTTCCTTCATCTTTTCCAATTCCAGAGGTAGATTGGCCATATATTGTTTTATTTCTGTGAGTTTTTCAATGTCCACTGGAGGCTCATTCAATCTCAATTTCACTTTCTAAACTTCATCATACAAAGCCAATGTTGATTATTTTGCTCTTTTCACTATCACTTCTATCAGCAATTTGTACAATTATTAATATTTTCCTGTCAACAATTAACTGATCTCTTTGCAATTCACCTTGAAACAGCCAACTTAAATAGAATCAGGTATTTGTAATTTCAACTTCTCCTCTTTCCTTTACAATTCCAATACTTCATCTCGAATCAACTCTGTCTCCTTTGGTTTTTCCTCATTATCAACTGTCTTAATATATTCCTCTGGTCTTATCATTAGTATCTCTTTGTAAACTTAGAAGCACTTCAAATACTCATCCAAAGCCACAAATGACTTATCCAGGTGTTCACTGAGGGCATCGAACAATTTATTCACCCAAATATTTTCATCAAAGAAATAGGGATCTTAATTACCAAATGGATCGTTTGTGATCTGAGACTTCTAAGGGACCTTATAATACATTTCTGATCTCGTGCCTTTGAATATTTCCTTCATTAATTTTGGCTCTAAATCAGGTATCTTGGCCAAATCCTCTAGAGCCTTATTAAAGATAATCAAAATTGTAGTTGCATAGTTTCTGATCATTGTGGAATAACAGAAATTGTCCTCATTGATTGCCTTGAGTAATTCAATTGTAAATAAGGGTTTCACAGCTCTCGGATCATAGAAACTGTCTGGATTTTTTTAACTTAAAACTAATCCATCCGCAAACTCATTTATTACATCATCTGGTCCATTGATAATAACATTATGAGGTATGTAACTTCTAATATACTTATCATAATTGTTGAATGACTTTTGTGACAGATTTAAGATGGCATCTTGAATCATCAATCTAACACAAGCAAAAAATTTCTTGAGTCTTCCTTTCTCATAATTATTTCTATCTGTCTCCTTTAAATTGAACCATTTATATTAGGTGTACCAAGATTTGTATTTATCTTTTTCAGCTTCCTTCTCCTTTTCTTTATCCTTTGGTTTTTCTTTATCTTCCTTTTCTTTGTTATCTTTTTCTTTCTCCTTTTCCTTCTCTTTCTCCTTCTCTTTCTCTTTCTCTTTCTCCTTCTCCTTATCTTTCTCTTTCTCTTTTTCTTTTTCTTTCTGTTATTATTCCTTGTCTCCAAATTACTTAATGATGATCTTCTCAACATCCTCCATAAAATCTTTTCTCAATTTACTCATAGATGTAACCAATTATGAATCATTATTTTATTTGAATTCTTCCAACTTATAAGGAGATTGACTTTATCCATTGATGTAAAAGAACTCCAATTCCTGTAATTGATTGCACTTTTCAGTGATCAATTATAAACATTTCACTGATTCAGGACTAGCCATGATACTGTTCAACAAGAATTCTTTGAATATCTCTGTGAAGCTCTTAGGCTCATTAAAGAATACTTCATGAGGAGTCCACATGTAAATTTCCTTCGCCCCTTTTTTTGCTTCCAATGCCAACATCCCATAGTAATTTGGGTCCTTTTTGGGGGGAACTTCAGGGAGCACCAATCCATGTGGCACTAGATCTGTTGGATTGGCTGTCAAATGATAATCGAATAGAATTCTATTCATCAGGAGTTAATAATCGATGGCAGCATCCATCATTAAGGCACTTATTTCACTGAACTCAAGTTTCTTGTTCTTCCTTATTAAATCTTCTATTTTCTTTTTCTATTCATTGGGCATATCTGGCAGATGATCTCTGGGCATGCATTGGATGAATGCGCTCTTCTTTAGTAATGAATGGGCAACTATCCTGTGGTACCAGGCATAGGCAAATCGATCAGCCCATTTGTTATGATTCTCATGATCGAAACACAAATAGACTCTTGGGATCAGTCGTTTCCCTAATGAGGGCAATACACATTTGAATTTCCTCTTGGCTTCATCGTATCCAATCACTTACCCTCTTTCAAATGTCACATCGTCTCCATTACAAATAACAATTTTAGCTGTTACTTCGTATGGCTACTCGTCAAATAAAACATTCTCAAACTCTATTCGGTCATCCACAAACACTTGCTCCAATCCGACATCATCATGTATTTGTAACGGAAGCTATCTTAAGTGTTAAGTCGGGTCATTAAAATCAACTCCCTAATCTAATTTTGTATACTTACTTTGCTTAATAGCAGTTGCTGCAAATCAATTGAGTTATTCTCATCTCTTTTCTGAATGAAATATTCTTCCTTACTTAGAGCCACTTTTTGATTAGCATTTGGATCGTAATCTTCCTCAATCGGCATCTCTTGTTTATACAGGCTTCTATATTGGAATCGCTCCTTGCTAAATTTAAATTAAGCCTTCTTTGAAGGAGAGGCTATTAGATTTGACATATTAAATAATAAATTAATAAATAATCATTTCCCTATTGTCTTTATTCGCTTATTAATTGTCTTCTCACCCATTTTACGAGATTTTAAACATCTTAAAATTTCTTATAAGTCAAGGAGTTCCAATAATAGGATGTTTTAACCTTCATTTTTGTTACAAGGTAGTACCAATTTGAAAATGTTCGAGAAATTAGTAAGAATGTAAATTAATTGTTATCCACAGAATTTAAGAAGAAATTTAAATTTCAATTAAGGAGTTTTGCATGAATTATAATCACTTTGATTAATATTACTTATAAATTTATTAAAGAAAAGTATAAATGATCCATTGATTAAGGAACCTCCTCCTTATAACTTGTAAATTTGATAATAAATTATTATTTAGTTTTTGGATTCCTCTTCTCAATAAGAGAGTAGCCTATTAATTTTGCTTTATTTTCACCCTCTTCTTGATTGTAACTTTTTCAGTATTTTTTGAATTAAGAAATTCCTTTGGAGAGATATGGGCTGGCATATCAGCCATAATATCCATATAATTTGTTAGATCCATTTATGTGATTATGACCAGAAAACTTCCCAAAGGTGGATTAAACGAGAAGATTAATGAATTCAAGGAAATTAAGAGCAAAACATCATTAAATAGATCCAGAAGCAACAACATAAAATGATTAAAATACAAAAACTAGTAAACTTAATCACGTTAGGATAAATTGAAATAAACTTGAAATATCGTAAAATATATATATAATATTTTTCAATTATTCTTCTTAAATTCAACTTTCATCAATTTTCCCATATCAATAATTTACTCTTAAACAAATACAATCTAAATATATAAAAAGAAAATAATTACTTTCTCTTCTATTTTTTAAATGAGTTCCTTCTCTCGAATTCCTTTGTTACCATCTAAATCTACCAATTCTCTAGCTTAATTAAATGGAACCCAGCAAAGGTCTTCCTCTTTCAACTTTTAATCAACATAACTCTCTATTCCTGAATATTCTGTTTTCTCTTTCCATTTCAAATAAGCGAAGAAGTAAACATAGTTCCACATGTAATGATTTATTTTTATGTGTTCTCTAAATCCCCCATTGCTTTTTGATTGTAATCGATCAAAATCAGCTCTAATAATACATACAATATTAATACTTTAGATTTCCACATACAAAGCAATTGTCAACCATATCTTTCAATTTATTCTCTTCCTCCTCTCTTAAACTTCCGAATGTGTCAATAATGATACCAGCCACTATATTAAGCATAATAACACCCAAAGTGATATTGCTAACTTCATCAAAGAAGAATCTGTCCACACCTAATTCTCTGGCAACATTATTCTTTCCAAGCTCTTATTGGACATAATCTCCTATTGAACCTCTAAAGGTCCATTCCACATTCATCATAAAACAGTATAGTAGAGTATCGCAATATCCTGCAAATTCATTTGATAATCTCCAATAGGCAAAAATAGTAAACACATAAACCAACAGAAATAGTAAGAAGAATGTTAAAACTAATTAAGTCCTGGGACGATAAACTGATAAGATGATATTTTTAAGTGTGGGATATCTAAATAGAATTTCAGTTAAATGAAAAATGAAAAACAAGGGATGGTAAAAGGTTCCTAAAATAGCAAATAAACCGTATGCTATGTAATACATCACCTCTACTTCTTATAAAAAGCTTAAAATAGTTTGAATGAACTTGTAAAACATGTCTATTAATATAAACAGAGGATTTGGATCTTAATCATCGAATAACCCTTTTTATAACCAAGCTCTCTTTAGAATTAAAGGCGCATTCTTCAGTAAATAAAATGATACAACAAATAAGGATAAGCAAGTCATAACAATACCAATAATATAAATGATTGTCTTCGTAATAGTAGGATTAAAGCTTTCATATTAACTAAAAAAGATGTAATCTTGAACTCTGTCACCGACTGTTCCATCAAAACTGAAAAGTATAAATAAGTTTAAAAATAAAGTCAGGAAAAATGCTAGTTCTCTCCACAGTTTCACGTAATCAGTTAACAAAGCCAAATATTTTTATCTATCAAATAGTCTCTTCAAATATTCTTCATGCTTGCAAACTTCGATCAGTGTAGGAGCTACATTCATTAAACCTTGAACTTTTGATTAGGTAGTGCTTCTATCCACCTGATCGTGAAATAGGATTTTCTATTCCTTAGGTAAATATTTGGTGGATGGTAATTTAATAAAATAAACTACTTCTAGATTCTCATCATGCATAACATCAATATGGGCACTATTCTCTTGATAAAAGTTGATGGCCATTTGTAAATCTTGTCTATATTGTTCTTCTTTGATTCTTTATTTCTCCTCCTCTGACATATCGGGTTTTACTTAATTATTTTTGAATTGATCAGTAGCTAAATTCTTCATTGAATTCAAAGTTCCAAATAAATTGCTAATTAAGGCAATTGTAAATTAGATCAACATATAAATAAATGAATCTTTGAATATTTGCCAAACTTCATTGCTTGTTTATGTCTTTAATATCTTCTTTTTGTACATCCTTGTAATTTTAATTATGGGACTTACAATGTAAGGATCGCACTCCATGTAATAACTCATTAAGAAGAATAGAAGAAATCCATTTTATAAAATGGTTTCAAAGTATGGTTACTATTAAGAGATTTGTTTTATTCTATCAAATTTGCTTTCCTTCATTTTCCTTAGTTTATATGGATCAACTGAAAGATGCTCTAGAGCTTCGATTTCGTATTTATCCCCGTATATTTTGACATATTTATTATATTCGTTGACACAATGCTTTTCTAATAAATTTATTGGTAAATTTCTCATGATTCTTTTTAGAATTGGATTGTTTTGGCTTATTTCACTTCCTTCCAATAAACTCATGATCAAATTCAAGATTTTATTCATTAATCTACAAATCTACCATCTCTGTAATGGCTAATCCAAAAGCGACTTTCGTTTACCAATTTACTCAATCTCCTCTGGTGGTGATAGTATATACTATTAAGAAAACAAATCTGCAGCTATATCCAAAAATTTCGATTCAGAAATTGCTTTTTAATTGTCTGAACAAGGCCCTTAAACTAGTTCATTTAAAGTATCTAAACATTTCAACATATTGTCATAGTTTTTTTAAATGCGCCCATCATAATAATAAGTTTTAAAGAGATCAGTTATTGCATTGGTTAAATCATAATTATTTTTGGAGTTCGTTTGCTCTCTAAAATAATTTTAGAGTTTTCTATAATGTCCTTCAACAGCATTTTGCAAGAATGTTAAGACTTCCAAGACTAAACTTAAATCTTCTTCAAATTCATGATAATCTATCTAGAGTAACCCTGCGGATTCATCTTCAGATCCTCCTTTAGATTTAGATAGGATTTCTAAATTTTCTATTTGTTTTCGAATTATAAAATAGATTTTCTAGAAAATATTTTCAGATTGACTGAAATTTATCATAAAACTGTATATAGTTCCTTAGACTTGATCATTTCCTCCGTCCAACAAAGTGTTAATGAATTAAATAAAAGACTATGGTTATAAATAATATTAATACCATCATTAATTTCTTGTCTTGGTTATTTTCACTCAAGACCAGTAGTACCATTTATGTTGCTCCTAATTTATCAAATAGATTTTGCATCTCCACTTTTCTGGCTGGATCAGTATCGATTATTTTTTTTAGAATATGTAATAATGTCTAGATAGATCCCTTGCAATTAGGATCCGAGAAGGCTGATTAAAGATAAGATATAAGTTTCCTAGAAATACTTTTAACATCCGGTTTATTTGTTAAATTCTTACTAAATTCTGGTTTTAATAAACTAGATATATTTAAAATGGCATTGGCAATAGTTTCTCTTTCTTTTTCAGCCTCCTTAATAAACTAATCCTTATTCAGTAGTTCTTTCAAAAATAACTTCCAAAGCTTCTCGACTTTGATAGATTTAGTTGCATCATACCCTTCTAACAATTCCTCCCCTTCTTCTTTATCAGTGAACACATGTATTTTCTTTTTATCAGGCAAATATTTCTTACTAGATTTCTTACCATTCTATTCATCAGGATTACTAAATTATTTTGATGTCTAGCTACTCTTCTTTGAATGATACCCTCCGGTTATTTCAATCACTGGTTTTGGATTAGGAATAGTATTTTCCAAACCAAATTAAAGTTAATCTTAATCTGTTTCTTAAAGTGAGTCTAACTTAATCTTTACTTAATTCCATATTGGGTCTTCTTTTTAACTCACTGTTTTCTCATAAAACACTTTGCAAAATGTTTATAAACACCTTACTAATATTTTTGCATCTTCACTTGTAATAATTATTGGATAAAGTATGTTTGATTCAGAAGTTAAAGTCTTTACCTTTTTCAACCATTCTTATAAGAATTTTTCAATTGCTTATAGATCCTTTCTTAAGTCTTATTTCTCTATGGTTTTTAAGAATCTATCGTGATATGCCAAAATGAAGGGGAAAATCCCTTAAATATGATAATTTTTTAGATCTTGAGTGAATAATTGCAAGTCAGTTATTTTATCAAGTCTATTGATTTCAAAGGTAATAAAATCAATTATTTATTATCGGCAGTGGAATAGTTAAGAATGCTATACTTATCCCCTTTCAGATGAGATGTGAACCAATCTCAAAAACTCTATTACTTATAATTTTATTAAGGAAATCCCTTTAATCTTGTCATTGCTATCAATATATTGAATCTGAGATTTAGTTGTTATTGGCATCTTAACAAATGCATCATTAGAACATAGTATTTCAAGGAGATAGGCCGCTGTAAACAATCTTTTTAGCTTGCTTACACTGATGTTGAAATTCTTTTTCACATCTTCTTCTTTTGTGTTGGCATAAAATTTTCTCTTTTCTACATTATTCAAAGTGGTCTAAATGAGAATGTCTAATAATTATGCATGATAATAAAAGGGTTCATCTCTAAATGTATCTCTATAGTCTATCTCTCTTAATTTATCAACAAATTTTAAATCAGGCTCTTAAATTGGATCATCCAAAAACAATTTCAAATCACTATTTCTTGAACCATCACAATACAATATCTTTATATCCTTTTCCCCAAATTCTACGGGTAACAGACTATTTTGTATTAAAATTTAATTGTCAAAGATGTAATTTTATTAATAAATCATTAATGACTCAAACACTTTTAAAAACCTCTTTTGTCTACCCTCTTTTAGAATTAGTTATAAAATCACGTCAATTAATTATTAATCAACTTTTTGAACAAGCAAAGTCTTATTATTTTAAAATATAGATTCAACCAATTCTAACTAACCTAAATCATATTACATGTATCGATAAAAGTTTAAATACTCATAAAGTATAATTTAATTTTCATTATTGTTGAAGCAGAAATTCTTGAGAACATCAATAGCCAGTCTAAAGAAGTCAATCATATATATCTTTTTCTCCTCTTCTAAGTCTCTATCCATAATATATTCATGAATATATCTCAACCCATTAGGCAATAAATTAACTACTGCTATATGAGCTCCCAAATTTGCATACAGTTATTACTTCTTAGGATCAATAACATCTAAACATGAAATCAATTCATTATCCTCTAATTTAATATCGCTTTTCAATCCATGATAAAAACTATTTAAATATTTTTACGCCTGTTCAAAGTCATTACTGATTCTATCCTCAAAAATATAGCTGGATATCCAAGAATCAAGACGTTCATTTAAAGTTTAAAACTGTTCTAAATTTGATGTAATGTATTTGTGCAGTATAGTCTTCTCAGCATCAAAGATAACCTACATATTCTATAGATTTCGTTTGAATTCCTCTTTTTAAGTAAACAATCTTAAGAGCAATTAAAGACACCTCTTTTCTAATTCTTTATCCTTTACATGATAGAACGTGTGCAAAAATGTTGGCAACAGACTTGCTACAGGCAACTCATTTGCATTGATATCACCTAAGGCCAAACTCAAATATTAGTCAAGATCTAAGATTTCTGGGATTTAAGGGTTGTTTATATAATTGTAAAATCTCGCTTTTGCTTTTTCTTCCTACTAATTTATTTTAATTAAGTTTTTCGTAAAAGATGTTAAACTATTTTCTTCTTTTATTGGTTCATCTATTTCTTTAATTCCAGTCTAAGCTAAATTAGGCAATAATCCCAATGCGTGATGTTTTAACAATCTCTAAATAATTAACAGATTCTTTTGTCTTTAATTTAAATCTTCATACTATATTCTATGGCTACGAGGTTTCTTTTTATTTTCCTTTTGTAAATATTAACTATAAGCAATAGGATTATTCTCTATGTGATCTCCTTATAATAGATAGGTCTTAAAAAATACAATGCAATTTTACATCATAAAATCTTACCTTAAGTCTAATAAATATTCCATAAAATCGCATATTTTAATCTTTAATTAAACTTCGTTTTCTACATATTTTGGATCCAAAAAATTTATAGTTTACATGATTGATGATAATTTTAAGTACCCTCTCATAACTGGATTCAAGTAGATATTCTAATCATTTGTTGTTTGGCTTTCTCCTCTCTGTTCCTCATTATCTTCTTCTTCCTTATTTTATTTCTTCAAAAGGTTCATAAAATTGGGAGCTGTAAGTTTATGTTGACTTTGCTTATCTTATAACTTCTTTTAGACTTTTTATCTTTCTGTTTGACAATGCGCTTGTATCAAATTGAGTTCGTATTTCTCATAAGTAAAAATATCTAAACAGGACTTAACCATAGATTAAATGAAATTTTATGGTCTTAAATTGGGTTATAATGTTTCACCCAGAGAATAATCCAACACCCAGATCAGATTCAATTTCATAATCTTATCCAAAATTCTCATTGTGTTTAAAATTAATTCCTCTTATAAGAAATCTGGACCCACCTAGTTTTAGAACTTTTTAGAATCTCTATCTTCACCCCCTTGATTATTCACTGGAGGACACATTACTTCATATATTTCACTTCCCTTTTCATTCACATAATTCATCAGATTATTCACCAAATCTTTGTAGGTATTCAATTCTTAGATATTAGACGATCCAGCTTTAGTTGAACTTTTGAATAGAATATAATCCCTAGGCTTTTCGCACTCGCTAAATAATTAACACATAATTGGTGCTTTCTTTATCCTCAAAGGTTCTTAGTCGATGTATAAAGTCAATGCTAGTCTGGCAAATCCAGGCTATAAATCTATATATTTAGGATCAATAGGATGCTTAAACCATATATTCCTAAACAAAAATGATTTTTCAAATTAAGCACCTAGCTCATTTTTCCATGAATAATTTCTTCCCAAAGCAACTTCTGAAAAAAAGGTGAGTTACTCAATAATATACATAAATTTGTCTCTTGAACTTTTATTAATGTCTCTTAAATCACAATCCTGAGGTATGATTAATTAACCTGCTTTTGATGTGAGTCTTACAGTTCCATCATTGCTTTTGCTCTCTTCAGCCTTAGTTTCTACTCCTAATTTGGGTTGCTTTGTATTATTCTTCTTATATAATTTAAAGATATTTTCTTAGTTAATTTAAATTGGAAATTCTGAATGACTGCAAACATTTCTTAAAAATTTTAAGTAATATGAGTTGTTTTTGGCTTCATCATCCCATAACAAATTAATAAAGTATTCAATTAAAGGGACAGGCTTCTTCATTATTTTTTCATGTTATTTTATCTCAATTTATTCTTCCTTATCATCAAATTGGTATAAATTAATTAAAATCTTTATCTGTTAATTATCAATTTCGTTTTCCTCGTAAAATTCAATCTTAATGTCTTCACTTAATTTATATAATAAATATTTATTGCTTGATACAATATTGATGATAGCTTCAATTGCTTTGGGTAAATATTTAGTGTGCAATTAAAAATATGGTATTAAATCATAAGTATATATTTAATTTTCTCTGTTTAACTTACATACAGATCCTAAGAATTAATAAATCTAATCAACTAATTCTACTTTAGATTTAACATAATTATAATATTAGGTTTTTAATGTGTTTTCTGTCTTTTGTTCATGCAACATTAAGGCTTTGTCTTCAAAAATAATGTTGCTTTCAATTTCAAACATGTTTTTGGATTGTTTATCACCCTTTTCTAACTCAATTTCTAATTTCTAATAAAATTCTAATTCTCCTTTAGTAATAATTCTTTCTAAAATTTTAATAAGTATATCTATATAAAACTATTCCCTCATTAATTTCTATCTATATTGATTGATAGATCCAAATTACTATTCTGCTGATGTGGTATAAGATTTATTATTAACGAAATTCTCTAATTCTGCAATGCAACTTTTTAATTATTAAAATACTCCAAACCATTTTCTTTTCGAAGAGAAATTATCTATCCCAGGATATTTTGGATCTTGTATTTAAATAACAAATTTGGCTAATCTACGAAAACAAGATTGCAAAAATTAGATTTCCCAAACTTCATTCCTAGTAGCCATATGTATTTTAAATACTGCATGTTCAGTCTTTTCATTTGGTGCTTTCAAAATTGGAATATATTCATGATTTTACTTATCATTCTAAAAATCCATCCAATTCTAACTCTATCTATTTTAGAGATATGTATAACTTCCTCCCTTTAAATATTTTTAATTTGGTTGAGTCTTGAGATCGACGAAAGTAAAAATTGTCGACTTGTCCAACTCCTAAGTTAAACGATATTTATATTGGAGTTATTTTTTATTTTATTTATTATTCTTATCCCCTGGGATATCTGCAACACTTAAATAATATCCAGTTGTAACATTCTTAAGTCTATATCCAGCCTCATACTTAACAAATCCTCCTTAAAGAAACTCTTCCCCTTCGATTTACCATAATCCATTCGTACTCCCCTGATACCCTTAGGCACTTTCAGTTTGAGACTTAGTAATCGCCACATATAAATTTTTTATGGATAACCATTCAGAAAGGTGATAAAATGTGAAATTAGCCTTGTCGACTGCTTCTTGATATTTCTTCACAGAGAGAGTAGCTTCTGCTTCACTATGATACAACCATATGCAATCTCCCACTCTTAAATTTCTTGAGCTTTCAGAGATGTATTATTGAAACAGTACTATTTTCCAAGAATGAGACTGTTCAACACTAGCATTTATTTCTTTCTTCTAGATGTGTTCAGACCTTGAAGAAGCATATCCTTTGATTTCAGAGATTTCCAATTATGAACAATTGATATATGCAAATCGATTAGAGATAGGCATTGCTCTGGTTATAGCACACATTTCGCCAGCATTCACATCCTATTCTCCGTGACTCTAATACATGTATGCAGGCACTATTTTAAACACAGTGTAATCACTTGAAAAATCATCCAATTTAACCAAGTAATTTTAATTCTCAATTTATGCTTCATTATCATGACATGCTAAAAATCTACCGCTTGCTATATGTAACAATTAGAAAGGTTAATGGTATGTTAATTTTTAGCACCTTGATTTTTCAATCGCATCAATATTTTGCTTATACTCATTCATTAATTGACTAAGTTCTTCATTCATTCTCTATGTTGTCATTTTGATCTTATCCTAATCATAAAATTGTTAATAATACATCCTTCCCATCTTTGTCTCCTTTCTTAATATCAGTTACATTATAATCCTACAAGACTCTTGTCTTCACCGTGTCGGAAACTCTGGGCAAAACCTAAAATAGACATTTGTAAAAGGAATCATTATCTAGGCCATCAAATGTTTTTCTTCTATATAATTCTTAAATACTTTTTTTATTCTTTATGAACAAAGTTTTTTAAAAATACTTCTGGTTTCAAAAACCCATCTGAAAATAAGAATGCTGTTTGATCAACAAAATCAGAGATGGCGATTATCGACCCAAAAGTGACCATCGTTTAGTCTATCTATTCATCTTCGTCCATTTTAATATTTATAAAAATTAATTGTTTAACTTAATTTGAAATTCATTTATTATACAGTGTTTTTACATTCTGTAGAAATAACAAATATTACTCATCTCATGGAGGTATGGCATTCTTCTTACAGAAGGTATCAACATTTAACAGAGAAGGTTTTAGACAACTCAAATTTATATAAAATTAGAATTTCTTAAATTTTCCTCAAGTACCTTTACTATAGATATATGATCGAAAATATTATTTGAAATTTTAATTTAAATGAATAAAGAGAGATAACTTATGTTAATTGAGAGACCTAAGCAACTAAGCAGATCTAAATAAGAATGTTTTCTAAGGATTCTTATTCATAAAATTAATTAATATTTTTATTTAATATAAAAGGGATGAAATCTATATATTAAGACATGTTAAATAGAGCTTATAACACTCTATTCCACCCATCCGTGTAATGGTTTAGGATTCTAACTCCAGTGAGCAAATTTGTTACGATTTTAGGGTTACAATATTTTCAGATACCCTGCACCAGCATCAGAATAAATTAATCATATTGAACATGACTTCAAAACTCCTTATCGTGATTCAAAATATTATGTCAGACATGATGAACCTGTAATCGAAAGAGTAGCAAAGGTTACATTCACAGACCCTTTGAATGAAACTCCATCTGAAAAGTAATTGATATTCATCAAGAATCTATTAGATTAGTCAGATTAAAATTGCTTACTAAAGATCAAGTCAACAATTCAGAAGCTGTATAAACGGCAACTTAACAATACGAATAAAAATACGGATTGCCTTTGTCTTAAAAGGGTAAGATATAATTATCAATATTTTAGTGTATTGCAATCAAGTTGGAGGTGGAGATGCTCTTTAAGACTTTTTCCAAGGTGAAAATATCAGAGAAGTCATGGCTAGCTTTGTGAGACAATAATGGGAAGAAGTCAATGAAAATGCGCTTGAAGACTTAAACTGTACCAATTTAGATGACGATTACCATCCAGTTTTAAATGAGAAGGTCGGATTCAATCTTCAAGAAAATGATCCTCTTTTTAGATAACTAATTGTTGATTTACACACTTTAGTTAAAAATATTGGGGTAAAATTATTGATTGTTATGATTTTCAAAAAAGGAAAAAACAAAATAAGAGGGTCATCTAACATTCTTCAGGGGAGATCCTAACTATTGGCATGTCCTCGATAATAGTTTCCCAGTTGAATCCATTAGATTGATTTAAAACACTTTGGGTGATGAAGTCTCCTAATTAGGTATTACAATGGATGCTATGTTTTATTTTAGATCCAAAAGCATTATAAAAACAACACAACAGAGAGGATTATCACATTGAACAAAAGGTGTAAGTACCCATAGAAAATAAATATTATTCATGAAATCATAAATAAATAAAATATTTATTCAGTATAATCAATATTTACATCATTGAAGAGCACAGGAACAAGAACATTTTTTCTTCTATTCTTGGTATTGTAAACGTTCGACAATATAAATGTCTTAGATTGGTGTACCTTCAATCTAATCTCTAAATGTGACAGCTTTTGCTGACACTCCTTTGAGAATAGGATAGTTAAATTTATCAAATCTTTTAGTTTTTTTTTTAACTTCTTGTTACGCCACCCTATCTTGGTTCATTTTTATTAATTTTATTAAAAATGCCATTATAATATCAATTTTGTAACAAATTAATTGAATCTATAAATAATTAATCAGAGAAGAGAAAGCATTAACTCTTTAAATTAGCTAAATGTCATCTACTTTTTAATGGAATAATTACATTATTGTTTTAATCTTTGGATGTCTTATCAAAGTTGAATTTCACACAATTATAATCTAAAGAACAAATATTTAGAATTTCGTCTATGCTAATCTTCCCACTATGATTTTTATCAATCATTTTGAAGGTCACTTATAAATGTTGATGAGTTAAGAGGGAAGATTTGTCAACTGCTGCAATAATGAATTCATGGAAGTCCAAAAATCCATTTTTATCAAAATCAACCTTTTTAAACAGGTCGATGATCTCTTCATAATTTTATCCAGGGTACAGTGATCGATATGCTTCCTAGAGCTCATCAAAACTAATTCTTTAGTCTCTATTCGTGTCAAAGGTATTGAAAATAGAGGCGAAAAACTGTTTCTATTGTTAATTGAAATGATTCACCATCAATAACAAAACACAAGCTTAAACATTATTGATATTTTTTAAATTTTGAACCTTTTTCATCTATTTGAATGCCTCAACAGTTTTTTATGAATTATTAATAGACTTTATCCAATTTGTGTCTAAAGCTTACGAGATTGTAATCCTTTGTTTGAAATCATAGGTAAGTAATTTTTTTATGAAATTTTTGCAATTATCACTAGATCTTTCAAAATCAATACAATCTAACCTCATCCCTCCTCGTATAATATTCTTCATAATTTGTTAAATGGTTAATTAAGTGCCCGCCTTTTAGGGATGGTAATTAATTAATAATTAATATCCTATCATTCCTATTGCCCAAATATCACAATGTTTGTGCTTTTATTTTGTTTTGCAAAATTCTGGAGAATAATAATATACTTGTTCCCCTTCCTTATGGAAGACGGTTTTTGAGAATAAGGGCTCAATGTCAACAAGTTTCAAAATTGGATTCTGAGATTCATCTGAGAACATAAAGGACTCCAACTAAAGTTCTCCATGATACAAATGTTAACTGTGCAAATACTCAAAAAGAGTCAGCATTTAATACATAATTTGAACACACTTTTATTCTGAAACTGAACCATTTTCCCTTAGATAAGCTGATAATGTGTTCCCACTACAATAATCCTCAACCATGTAATAATGTTTGGGATCACTATAGATTTCATATATTTCTGGCAAGTTTATGTGTTCCTAATTCAAAATAAAATTGTACCAATTTCTTTTTCTAAACATACTCAACTACTGCTGGTTTTGTAAGGCAGTCCCAATTTAGTTATCTAATGTATCTTACAGATTATGTGAGATTATGGCTGACAATAAAATAATTGATAAGTGAGTCTAAGCTAATAAAATCTTTTACTCGAACATCCTTTGAACCTGGAATCCATAAGAGTGTAATTTTTAAATATACTGCCATCTTATTCGTTTATTTTCAATTCTAAATTACTGCCTAATTATTCCCTCTCTAGACTCTTGGATATTTACAAATTAAAGCTGTATTTGCTAGTATTAAGGTTATTTTCTTAGGTTTTTACTCTTATTTCTGCTGCTTATTTTTTGCTTTGATTAATCTTCTTTTTTAAAGAATCTTTAAAAGAAGTACCCGTATTATCTTGTTTAGAAAACAAACAACCCATTTATACTTTATATATTTAAGATAATAAAAATTATAAAGAGAAATATGATTTTTGATAATTAATAAGATTCCTCTTAATTTAAAATGTTTGAATAAATCATTCTAACATTAAATATTGTTAATTCAATTATTCTCCTATTTTACTATGGAGATGATTTTATAAGGGCGTTATGAGCTTATTTAACTTGTGAATTCAAAGAAATGAGATAATTTCTTTTTAGATTGAGATAATTTTATTAAATTAGCTTTGGATTATTAATTTTGGAATAATGCTAAAAAATTGAATAATCATAGAAATTAAATGATTAATTTAGATTTAGATAACTATTAAATAGAAAATCTTTATGGAAATTTAATCAATCGGCTGCTGTTTCAAAAACTGTAGAGTTATTTGATTCACTATTATTGATTTTTCTGATTTCGTCATCATTTAAGATTGTATCTTCTCATATCAACCAGAATTAATATAAAAAAGTGTGATGATTAATGTGTTTTAATTTTCTACAAACCCTCAAAAAATAGTAGAAATTCATTATTGACACTGAATATACTATCAAATAATTGATTTTAGTGAAGATAACCAGCTTAGATAAACGCACTTATTTAATTAGATTATTTCTTAGACTGCCATTTGCAATCTTAAGGCTATATTTCCAAATCTAATTTTTATTTTTATAAAAACATAATATTATATTAAAATTTTAGATTTAATTAATAGAATGTAATGTCAACTTATATTATTTGTTGAATTAAATTTGAATAATAAACATATTTAAACATATTAAATACATAATAAATTAATATATCATAAGTCTGATTTTTATGAACGCTATTGGAGCCCTAAAAATGATTATGTAAAATTAATGATTCCATCTTTTGTAATTTCACTCAATAGATTAAAGCTATCAGAGATTGGATTAAATGCCACAATCTAAGGGAGGTAATCTATAATATAAGCATTAATTTTTACCATTTTAAATTCCAAAATATTACATAAGTCTCAACCCATATTTGTTATCCGTATTAGCTATGCAAATAAGAATCTAATCTTTAATTTTAGATAAAGCTAATCTTAAGTGCTTTTCAGCTTGATTTGTTTAAGAATTTTACACTAAGAAAAGAGTTGGTTAATCCCCTTTGAATATTCTTTTTGCTGTCTAAACAATTGAAATTCTATATTCTTACTGAAATGTCGAAATTCATCAAAACAGGATAAGAATGTTTTTTGACAAATTATTCTATGTAAGAAATCTCGAAATTATCAAAAATTGCAGCTTTTCTTTCATCATATGGTTTATAAATAACTATGCTGGGTACTTAAGCTCTCATCTCATTAGCGAAGTTTTAATTAAATGTGTGTAAGGCTGGAATATGTTTATTCTTTCTAAGTACATAAAAATATAGTGATTACTGTGAGAATTAATAGTATTACATGAATTCATATGATTCTTTCTATTCACCAAAGAATACCATAACTAAATTAGGAGATTCAGAGAACCTCTTCAATTAATCTAATGATTTTGCTTCAACAGATCCCTTATCTAAGATGTACTCATAAATATGATGTTTACTTGTTTTCTTTCTCATCCAATCAACAATAGCTTTTTCTGTTCTATCGCCTTGATATTCCATCAATAATTAACCATCAGCAAATAATTTTAAGGTTGGGAATCCAGTTACTTAATATTTTCTACACAAATGTTCATATTGAGGACAATTGATCTTAAATTTATCAAGTTTATTACTTTAGCAAATTGAACATTTTGACTCCTGACTTATCTTGCAGATGAAGCAAATATTGGAGCTAAATGATGACTAAATTTTATTAATGATTAATACCAATGTCCACACCATTCAGCATAGAAATCCACTAATACAAATTCATATTTCCTCAGAACATATTCAAAGTTTTAATCGCTCAATATTAAAACTCCATCCTCCTCTGGTACTTATTATCCAAGGACAAGAGAGAAGAAAAGAAGTGTTAGTAAATATTTCATTAGAAAATTCTAGATTATTTATATTAATGATGTGTAAATTAGAATTTTCATAATTAATACAACAGATTATTTAAGTAATTGATTAGATAATAAGATAAAAGTGATGCTTTCCAAATCAATACGATACTAATAATGTACAAAAAAGTTCTCTGAAAATTATAATTAAAATTGCAACTTGTAATTTTATTTATGAAATCAATAAAAATTAATTGAACAGAATATTTTCATTAAAATTATTAAAATTTTCTTAATCAAATAAAATTATTGTGTTTGAAAATACTCTGTTAAAGTTAAAATCGTATATCACTTTCAAATAATTAAAACTTAGAATCAATGAAAATACACCCTAATTTTAGAGTATTTAGGGTAATGATCTTGGAATATTGTTATTTTCATATTTCAGTTAAAACGAAGGGAATTCTTCAATTTTTGAGGATACCCTTAAAATAATGATCTATTTGATGTATATTTACTAGTTGCAGAGAAAACTATTTTTTCGTTAATTCACTTTTTCTTACATATATTTAATTAATAACTATAAATAAAATTTAGTATTAACATTAAAAAACGCAATATTTCTTTGAAAAACGAATAAATTTTGCTGAGTTCCTGATTCAAAATGGAGATATCAAATGATATTTTTCAATATTATTATTATTAATGAAGACCATCATATTGGCTTTAGCACTTATTGTCTTAGCTTCATCCACATAAGCTGATGTCATTGCTACTATTAAGAAGATCGACCAATCACCATTCGGCAGAACATTGTTTGATACAATCTATTTAGAACTCTAAACAGGAGACCCATTAGATAGATTATTGTCAACCTTGACAGACTTAGAAGATAGATATGTAGCTGAATAAAAGGAAGATGATGCTAAAAACCAAGAGTACTAAGGTGCTTGCACAGTTGTAAGAACTTAAATCTATATTTTAGGATATCTCAGCATTCGATAAGGATTTGGCTGAATCTAACAGAAAGAAGATTGAACTTGAAGCAAGATTAGAAGGATAATTATACCCATAAAGATCAATCTTGGAAGGCTTAGTAGCTTAAAAGAAAGCTGAAGTCAAGGGATACTAAAAGGATTTGGATGAACTCGATGCTTAAAGAAACGAAGAACACGAAGATTTCGAAGAGAAAGTCTTAGAACACTAAGAAGCAACAGCTATCATTGCTGAAGCCAGAAGACTCTTTGCTGATAACATCGAACACGGATCTTTCATCCAAAAAGGAAAAGCCACCAAGCAAACCCACAAATTCACCAAGGATATTGCTAACATGATCTAAAAGCATTTTACCACATCTGCCAAGAAGACTGCCAAATTCTAACACAGAAAGGGATACAGCAAATTATTCAAAGCCTTTGCAACAATTGCCTCAAAAGTTGAATAATTAGCTGATGCTGGTGCCGTCTAAAAGATCATCGATTTAGCTGATGAATTATTGGCCAAGATCGCTGACTCATTGTCCTTATTGAGATTCGCTGAAGACAAGAGAGTTGAAGCATATAAGAAATCAAGAAACTTCATTGTCATCTCTTTGAATGTTGCTGGTTCCGCTCTTGCCAACGCTACTGCTGACTTAGCATCTTTGAATGATATCATTGCTTAAGTTGAAGCCTCACTTGATACAACCGAATAAAGAATCGAAAACGTTTCAGCTGACAGACACGACAGATTCACTTAATGCGAAGAGGCTGTTTAAGATTACTAAGATGCCAGAGCTGCAAGAACCTCAGACAGAGATGTTGTTTCATAAACTATCGGATTAGTCAACAAGGAATTGAGAACTTTGAGAGAATAATTGGCCTTGAGATAATAAGCTGGAGAAGAAATTTGATTTTTATGATCTATACAACATTAAAAATGATTAACATTTCTTCACAAGTTTTAAATAATTTGTTTTATAAATTAATTGTAACATGTAATAACTCGACAATCAAGAAATATTGATGAAACTCAAGTCCTCCAAATAATTTTGGGATATAAAGAAGAAAGTACTTACTTTACACTATCTAGTTAAAATAAGGACTGGGTGACTAGCAGAAAATTGGAGTCAATGACATTCAAAAATTTGCTCAAAGTTGTGAAATTGAAGACCAATTAACTAAATTGATATCTCATATTCTCAGAAAATCCAAGAAACGAGAATCTCTTAAGGAAGATTAGATTGAATTTCTGAACACCTCAAAAATAAAATGGACCGAATTGTTATTTAAAAATTTAGACATCGTTCATTAAAAAACAAAAAATTAGGAAGAAGATGACACTAATACAGATTCTAAACTCTACATCTATGATGAAAAGAACCTATTGGCATTTTTATAAACTTTTAAATAATAATAATAGTCCATTGCCCTATACTAAAATGTTCAATTTCAATCAAATAAACTGTTAAATGTTAATATACCCTTAAAGTCATCCTAATCAATATTAGACAAATATTAATATTTGCTGCTCCAAGAAGAATTGCAGGATGATAAAATCAATAAAATCAGAAAGCAAATTGAAAATGAACACATAGATATTGAATTAGAAAAGATAGCCCAAACCTTTGTTCCTAATGGAGAGAGGTGTCTTCTCTACTTAAAATATTTTGAATTCGACCACCAAGAAACAGTCTTACAGTAAAACTTTGCAAAACTCCAAAAAGAATGTTCAAATTAGTTGTTTTACGATGAACTACTCGAAATAGACGGACATGAAATATCTGAAGATACCTTCTATTTTGTATTTTAAGAATAAATTCTAACATGTTTAAAGTGCTTTATTAGAGACAGAACAATAAAAGAGAATATAAGGGTATTCGAATTAAATATTAATTAGATTCAACTATAAAATGGAGTGAAGAAAGAACATGCAGAGTTTTAATTGCCAGTTACAGGATTCTTTCCTTTTAAAAATATTTCCAAATATGTTGCACCATTATGTTATCTCTCTACAAAAATACATATAATCTATGCATTGTTTAAGGAGTTTTTTTGTAGATACTTTTGCTTTTTGCATGCCATTTCTTCAGAGAACAATTCAATTTTATCTCTATGCATGCAAATCGAAGAAATTGTAAGCACTCGATCTCCTAAATTATTTCATCATTTAAAGGTTATTGGATGTGATACATTAAAATTGATCATTCATCAACTAGTCTATTGTTTCATTGGTGATATGGATCCTCCACATATTTTAACTATTTATGATTCAATAATAGGACACGATAGTTTAGAAATATTAGTTATATTATGCGTAGGTTTTTTAAATAAATACAAACCTAAGTTATTATTAGCTAAGAATTAAGAAAATGTATAATAAATCTTTTCAGAATTAAGAGAAGACAGATTTTAAGAATTAGTGCAATTTGCATATAAATAATGAATTCTATAAACCCAAACTAGTTTTAAAATTTTATTTCATTAAAACCAAAGTTGTATAATTAATTTGTTCACTTTTTGAGTCCTCCCTGTAAAATTTTAATTGCCTTCTATATTTCTTCATCTTTATGAAAGGCTAATTCAGTAAGTGAACTCCCTTATGTTCTTTTATTTTATTTCACTATTTTTGTCCCTTCATCAGGAATCATTGCTATATAAATTTCAAATCATACTTGATTTATGACTTCGTTAATATAATTGATGAACAGATTTTTGTTAAGCTAAATATGGCTTTTCGTTTCTTTACAATTAATTTTAGACATTTTGGGATTGCCAATCCGTGAATTAGTTTTATGGTGGTAGAACTATTTAAAGACCTTACTTTTAACCATTTGTTTTGAGGGATCCATCGATTCTATATTCCAGTAAACCTTATTATTATTCTTGTAAAAGTTATTCAGTATATTATCGTTGAAGTGATGGATTGAGATTATTGAGAGATTTAATCTACTTGAGTGATTTGATTTACATATCACTACAAGGCTATTCTTAGGATATTTTCTTTTTATTATTTAACTACTCTTTTATAGCTTAAGGTTTCTAAAGTAATTTGCCAACTTCAAAACATAATTGATCTATTTCGTTTGCAAAGTAATGAATAGTTCCAACAGCATTTGCTTCTTTTCCTTAATCCAATTTCTAAGGAGCTTAAGGATTAAGAATTTGTGCTGGGTCTCCATAAATTGTTTTTGGTGGATCCAAACCTCTCTTTGTGTAATATTCTAATGGGTTTCTATTAAGTCTTTAAGTTTTGGAATGAGAGTCTGTATCATTATAAATAGTTAAATATGAGGAGTAGGTTTAATATTTTGCAAAATGATTTAGATCTTCTGTCATTTATTTTAATTAAATTAATGAACTATGCTACTTGATATAAAACACCTAGAACCAGAGATCGTACTATTCAATGCTAAACCTTTATATTCTATGTGATAATTTATGAAATTAATGGTAGACTATTAATAATTAATTGAAGATCACTGAACATTACTACATTAATTTAGAATTTGAAGTTAAATTTTTTATTCCTTTACAATGACTATTGAATAGAGATACTGATAAGATAGAAGAAATGAGGAGATCAAGAATTAAGTGTAGATCAGCTAGCTCTTCTGTTATTATAAAAATCATATTTTAATGTGTTGATTTTTATGATTTTAGGAAGATTTATAATAAAATTCAATAAAATATTCAGATTATGTATAAGAATAGGAATAACAGAATAAAAATAATTGACTATAACTACAACTACATTAAAGTTTGAGAAAAATAGATTTTACATCTAAAGGATAAAAACATAAAAGAATTTATGACTGAGTTATGGGCATCAATCGAATAAAGGATGTCTACTTTAATTAACCCTAATTATCTTAATGTATAAATTAACCCTTGATTTCGATTTAGCAGCTTCTTTTTTCTTATTCGACACCTCATCTAAAGATTGCTGATTGCTTATATTTATAATTTTATAATCGCAAGGATTTTTCATTTCTTTTTATAATTAACAATCTTTTGCTTTACAAATATTGAATCTTACTTGAATGTAAAATTAATATAGATAATTCAATGATTCTTGATTTTTAGCTAGATTTGTGTTTTAGTATTTTTATCAGTGATTTTGTGCAGGATAATTTTTATTATAAAATATTTTCCTATAAATGTTCTAAGCAGAAAAAGGAGCTAATGCAATTCCAGGATATACAGGGTATGAGTGTGATTTAGCGTAGCTTTGCCCCAACATAGAATTTTGATGCAGATTTATTGTAAATTTAGGGTAATAGGAATCATATTCCAAGTAATATTCATTTTGTAACCATATTTAGATTATGCTGGTTTTGTGCCAGGGATAAAGGCTGAGAATCTGTTTGGAAAAACATTCGGGAAAATCACTCTTTTATCTGGCACGAGATAAAATCATTAGGGGTAATTAATTGATAGATGATGGAATCTAGATCCAATTTACCAGCAGATCTCAGATATAGAAGTGAAGTCAAGGATGCTTATTGCGATCAAAATCAATAAAGAAATAAAGATAAATTACTATATGGAAAACTTGATTCTGAAACTTCCGTAATTTATATTGAATCTATAATAGAAAGCTCTGGCTTATAGTTTATCAAACTTAACAAGTACTCAGGTACCCAAAATAACGAAAGCCAGAGGTATTGTTAAGTTAGTATTTTTGTAGTGGATGTGAAGGAGAGAGTGAGCAATGTGAGTTATCAGGAAGCACTAAAATAAGCCGGAAAATGATTATATTAATTATGAGGATTTATTAATTATCCCACAATTATTTGTTTTCAAATCAAATACATTATAATTATGAAGTCATTAATAAAAATAATTTAATGAGTGAAAACTATAATTTTTCTGATTTCGTCAAATTTAGGAAGGGTAGTACCTTTGGCATAGGAAAGATAGAGAATTTCAGTCGTGAAGAGGATTGGTTCGAATATTTCGAATACATCTTAAGCGAAGAATTACCAACAGGTTGGTTTATATATTGTATATTTTATTGTATTTAAATATTACACAACACACATTTTCCAATAATCCTTATTATTGTGTTTTTCTTTTTTATTAATTTTTATTAGGTAAACAACCACATCATGGATTGTATGAAGTGTTTAAGACAGATTAATTGAAGAAAGGGAAAATGACCGATATTATTGAGAAAGTCCAATTAAGTAAGCTCCCCGAATATGTCCAGATGACAGAAAAGAAAGGTTATGTGATGAGACAATAGTTCATATCCAAGGATCTGATGCCTCTATTAAAATAGTGTTTTTGTGGCCAATATGTGAATCCAGATTAGGTTCTTGTGCTTTGTACTTCATGTGAAAAGCCTTTTCATGCTGAATGTCTAATTAAATAATTTGAACAAGGAAATGCCAATTGTGATTCATGTAGAGAAATTCTCTCTAACCTCCAAATTACTGATCGTATTAAAGAAGCTTTGTAAACCAGGTCATCTACTATTGTCATCTAAACCAATTAACAAAAGACACATGAATAAAGAGCAATTTAAATTGAAGAGGAAGAAGAAGAATAACTAGATAGAAATGAAAAGAGAATAGATTTAGACAAGATTGTCAAAAAAATAAAGACTAAAGATGGTCAAATACATTCCAAAGTGTAAATAGTAAAGCAAGATACTCACACCAATGGAAATTCTAGAGATAAGAATTAAACACATGAAGCCATCCCATAAGCAAATCCTCCTGAATAGTAGAAACAATAATCTTAACCATTTAAAAACATATCAGCCCAAGCTGTTGAAAAAATGAAGAGCTGGGTTGAGAGATATAGATAAATGGAATCCAATGCTTCAAGTTTTGAAAAGAAAAGACAAGAAGTAAGAGAAAAATTCTTTTCAGTCATTTTTTATGGCATAGAAGAACTAAAAGATATGTATGAAAAAGATCCCAATTCTATCACTAAATTAGAAAAGGAGATTATCAGTAATTCTGACACAGCCTTATTTTAATACATTAAAAATTTAGCATTAGACATTGAAGTTTACACACATATTAAGTTTAATACTTAATACAAGACAAAATTAGAACCACTGTATGTTGAAAGATGCAAACTCATTTATTTACACATGAAAGATGATAAAAATTTAGAATTGAGAAGAAAAGTCATCTCTAAAGAATTTTAAGCCCAAGATTTGAGTACTAGAGATGAAAGGGATCTTTACAATCCAGAAAAACGAAGATAAACCTAAGAAATTGCTATGAGAGTCATTGAACTTAATTAAAAAGATAAGGATGAAGAATAAAAAATTATCAAAGATATTGAAGAGGTATCCTTTTCTAGAAATGTAAATATATCTCATTATTAATTAGTAATCAATAAATGAAGAAATTTAAATCACTACTTAAAAAAAGGATGGTCATTCAACTAAAAATCTATTAAAAGAAAAAATGATGGAATATTCAGTTGAAAAGTCGATCATGAGATTTAAAAAAAGAATTGCTGATGAACTTAATGACAAGGAACGTTTACAAATATTAGCCAGTTTAGAATAGTATCAACTTCATTAATGAATATTCAAATATTATTGTTTTATATAAATCATAATTTAAAATATAGAAAAGTTTTCGTTTTTCCAGAAAAAATTAGTTTAAAAAAATGATAAAATAAATCAATTATCTTTATAGTATTCTAACCATTTAAATTATGTTTTCATAGATGTTTCAAACGCAATTCTTATTAAACTTTCTATTGCTTTCTCCTTGGCAGTCACCTCACATTATTATAGATTTTTTATAGATTTACGACTTTTTATAAAGTTCACAACCCATTTTTTGAAATATTTAATCTTTCTTTTCTTTTAAATTATATCATATTTAAGTTGGACTATCTAAAAATCTTATTTTAATTTTTAATTTGAGAGTGATTACCACAATTCATGTAAATTGTCATTTTATAATAAATATTTCCATGCTTAAAATGCTTTTTTTTGAACATTTTTATTGTAAACTTCTATTGCCATTTCTTCTATTTATTGTCTTTGTTATTTTAAAGTGATTATCTTCAATTAATCTTACAATTTCTATTATTTACTAGTTAATTAATTATATCTGAATCCTTCAAGACCTTTTCTTTTTAATAAAAATTGATAAAAGGGGTGGTATTCTTTATCATTTTTCCAAAACTGAAACACCTTCTATATTCTTCTTAGTTACATAATTTAAATAAATTCTTTTTGTCTGTGTCTTTAAAGAAATGCTATTTTCCATTTTATAAATACTTTTTACATTAAATTAGGACATAATTTTAAATCTTCTTTTAGTTCAAAAATTATGACCTTAATTTTCTTAGCCTAAACTTCTCTTTCATCTACAGTATATACATCATTTAAACAATTAGGCCCTTCATACATATGTCTCGGTTTTTCATCAGTTAAAAATTAGGATAATATTTAATTATCATCATCCTCTTTCTGATTTTCAGCTATTTATGCTTTTTCTCTCTATTCCTTCTCTAATTGTCTCTTTCTTTCCTCTTATTGAGTTAGGTAGTAAGTAACTTATTACCATGCTTGAAGTGATTATCTTAGGAGAATATTTTTGATTGATTGTGCTGCTTATCTTTATCGAGCCAAACATTAATGAAATATTCTCCAATTTTAAAATATTGTATTTAATGTTTTTACTCTCATGTGATCACAAACTAATTCGTAGAATTCATTTTTCGATTTGTTTCTCTAAGAGTATAAATAGAGCTTTTAAAAACATTTTTTTTAATTTATCATTTGTCTTATCTGTGTTGTATCACTTAGTATCTTGTTAATTGCACTCTTGTATTTAATTCTCAAAAACAAATATCTTAAAAACATTTTTTTAGTTATTCGTTTTTATTCTAATAGTAACATATTCTTCTTTCTTTCGTAAAGGGCTTCACTTAATAACTCTTTTTTTATATCATTTGCCCTTATGCAAAGTTCTCTAATAGGATAGATGTAATTCAAGCATAGTATTATACTGTAAATTTTCAATTACTAAAAGAGTTAAATGCTAAGAAGAGTGAAGTCTTTAATATTGTTGTTCTTCTATTATTTTATTGACTGATTGAAATAATTAATATTCTTCATATTCTCAATTAAGGATAAAATGTTGATATTTTATGTACTCAAATTGGCTAGCTCTTCTTCAGGCCAAAATATGCATAGATTTAAGTTTAATTTCAATCCTTACTCTAATTTTTTTTCAATTTTGACAGGAATCCAAGAAGGTGGGTTTTCCAATTCAAATTCTAATTTTTTTATTATTAATTTAGGTTGTACTTGTCTAACTATACCTGTTCTTTTTTAAAAGACCGATTCATTTGGTATTGTTCGAACTTTTTCTAAGTCTTATTAGTATTCATCAGCAAATTTAACTTAATGCTATTATTCATCCATTTCATCTGGTTCATTTAACATTTATAACTTTTGAATTTCTGGTGTTGAGCACGTAAATTATTTAGTAGATACGTCTTCAACTTTGGGTTTTGCTTTTTTCACAGTTGTAAGCTTTTAACAAAAAAAATCAATTTCTTTTAGCAACATGGACTATTGTGAAAACTCCTCCTGTTAAATAAGAGGAGCATGAAGAGGTTTTGGTTTCTATAGTACCATCATTGTCTCTTCCATCTACTTTAAAATATCTCTTTAAGGTTAAAAATTTGGAGTCACATCGCTTTCCAATTTAATCATGAATACTTATTAACTGAAAAATAATTAATTCAAATTAATTATTTATTAAATGAAAAACAAACAATAAATCAATTTAAGAGGACAACCTCAAATGCTCACCTATAATATTCAAAACAATTCAATATTTATTATATTTTAAACTAACCTTTAAATTCTCTCTTCTATTTCCTGTTTAATTCTAGATTACGTATAAATAATGAACTCAGAAGATTGTTATAGGATTGCTATTTTTATTAATGGGTTATTCACTTACACCTAATGAACTTTAAGAGATTCATGTTGCAAATTGCAAAATTAAGAAGATAGTATTTAATTCTGAATAATAATGGTTCAGAATTATGGATTATTTATATATAAGTATTTGTGCCTAATTTGTGAAAATTCAAATCTTTTTAATAATTAATGGCATTTGTTAAGCTTGTTAAAGGAACACCATATTTCAAAAGATTCTAAACTAAATTCAGAAGACGAAGAGAAGGAAAGACTGATTATTATGCAAGAAGCAGATTGATCGTGTAAGACAAGGATAAATATAACTCACCAAAGTACAGATTTGTAGTTAGACACACAAACACAAAGATCATTTGCTAAGTGATCTATGCTACCTTAAAGGGAGACAAGGTAGTGGCTGCTGCTGAATCTACTGAATTAAAGAGATTTGGTTTAACAAGTGGTTTGACTAACTATGCTGCTGCCTATGCCACTGGTTTATTATTGGCCAGAAGAACACTTAAAACATTGAAGATGGATAAGTTTTATGAAGGCAACAAAACCATCGATGGAAACTTGTATGATGTTGCTGAAAAGGAAAACCCAGAGAGAAGACCATTCTTTGCCGTACTTGATATTGGCTTGGTCAGATCAACTCTTGGTAATAGAGTATTCGCTGCCTTAAAGGGAGCTGCTGATGGTGGTATTCACATTCCTCACAACAACAGAAGATTCCCAGGATTCTCTGTTGATAATGACAAGAAAGAAAAATATGATGCCAATGTTCACAAGGACAGAATCTTTGGTGTTCATGTTGATAAATACATGGCTCTCTTATAAAAGGAGAAGAAGACAAACAAAGATGGAAGATCTAAATTCGATGTCTAATTCCACAATTGGGAATAAACCTTGAAGACTGTATTTTTTTATTTAATTTAAATAGGCTGGTGTCAAATCAGTTTAAGAATTGTTCAAGAAGATTCACGACGAAATCAGAAAGAACAGTGATAGAGTAAAGAGAGGTGTTAAATAAAATCCAAAGAGAGATCACACCAAATACAGAAACAAGAGATTAAACGCTAAATAAAGAAGAGCTAACGCTTTAAAAAAGATCGATATAGCCACCAAATAAGCTGCTAAATTAAAGAAGAAGGCATGATTTCATTTATATTTGGTACATTATAAAAATATCCCAATCTTTTTCTATTTTGTCTTGACTCTCAATTTAATATCACTACTTGACATTGATTATTTAAATATCCAAAATCTGTATCATGGTCACTTCAATGCTGTTATAAGAATATTGTTTTTATTTCAATTAATTTCAAGAATAATAAAAATATAATATATGTCAACTTAGTATAGAATACCATCTAACGATAATTATATTAGAGACTTAGAAAACATTTCTCAAAGGTAATTTTGAATTTATGCTAAAAGAGAGCGTCATGGTTTGTTTAATCAGCCTCCTCCATTGTTATTAGGTGATTAATATAACGACGCATTAAAAAGTAATGAATTACTTATTTAAATATAGGCTAAGGCAAGGAGAAAGGAGTATTGGTCAATAAAAAATTATAAAAAAAGCATGAACCTACTTTATTTTTAGAGCCTGGATATACTACATTGAATGATCCTTACAAAGATTAATTTAAAGCCAAATAAATTTACGATAAAGAAAGAGAATTAGCAATTAAAAACCCTAATTGTTTCAAACCAAATGATAATGTTAAATCAATGTAATATATTCGCTGAGTATCAAAGAAAACATTCTGAATTCGAACACATGAAAGAATTCAATGATAAAGTATTTAATACAAGAACTCCAAAAGGAGATGTTAGAACCTAAGCTAGAAATTTCTTAACTAATCCTGCAAAGAAGGGATTAGGCAGAACAACCACTAATAATTTATTTGGGTAAATTGAATATATACCTGATCCATATGACAGACAAGAAGAATTAGATAGATAAGATAGAATTAAGCATAGAAGCAAATTCTTACCAGGAACAACTAGGTTTGTTACAACAAGTCATGGCAATCGACCATTTACTGCTGATGGAATATTGCTTGATGGAGCAGGATATTTATCATGTAATTACTTTATTCTAATACCAATAAGCAAAAAAAAGACCTCTCTATAAAGGTGCCCCTTTTAGACCTGCTAACTAAAATAAAAAAGGATTTTAAGGAACATTTGAAGTGCTCTAATACATGGAGGAAGGAGTACCAGATCCCAAAACAAAATAAAATACCTTCTAAAAATTAAGCGCAACTTAAACCTATGAAAATCCATGGAGACCAAATTCAAATGGTACCTTTGCTCGACCATGTCCTAGTGTTTCATAACAATTAAGACATAGAAGTGTAGGATCAAATTAAAAATCTTGAAAATAAAGAATACAATAATTGCATTAATTTGAATGTTTAATTAGACGTAATGAATGCAATTCTCAATAAGTACTCTGTTTAAACTATATATAATCATTTTCCTTCTCTTTGTTCTATTTATGCATATTTTCTATAAATCCTTCTCATAACAAATAATATTTACTCATATAGTTTTTGTGAGTCAAATTAGTCAATGTCACAAAATTGAATTTCTCCTCCTTTCAGATATTCAAAAGGTAATCCAAGTAATACACATTTCTAAGAAAAAATTATTGCTTAAGGAATGTAATATTGTTAAGGAAATTACTTAGTAAAAAAGTAATCTTGCAATTATTTTTAGGATTAATAGAAATCATACAATTTGTCATCAAACATTTTTTAATTCTCACTTTTAATATTTAAGTTTCCAACTTTGTATTATCTCTATTCCAAAATTCCAAATTGATCATATATTGTCAGGTGCTCTGTTTTTGACTATTGTAATTCTTTAATAACCAGATCAATGATAGGAATTACATTTTTATGTTTTGGCTACTGAAATCCCAATAAAAGATGAAAAGGTTGTTTCTATAATCCTTGCATTAATTTTAAAATGTAATAAAAACAATAATTTCATATTTTCTGAATATTTTCGAATGAACGTGTTTTCACCTAATAATTTAAAAATTTATATTAAAGTATCAAATCTGAGAAATAATGTATGAATACTATAATCAATATATTAGCATTTTGCAATAATTGTTTTGATTTATTGAAATATTATTTTTAACGATCGAATTTATTGTTGTGATTGAACATGTTCACATATTTTTTGTTATGAAGCACTCTTATTTTAAGAATGGCATATTAATTTATCTTTGGATAACGAACTTCAGATTGTTGCTCTTTAATTTGGGAATTGTTGTTTCCTTTGATTTCTAATTATTCACTCTTAATAACAGCAACACTTTCTTGCATTTTTGATCCTGACGTTTTATTTAAATTTCTATTTGTTAATAATAATTAATTTTTAGACCAAAATTTTGATTCCAGAATTGCAAATAATGTAATAGCATCATTAATTGGGGGATGAAGGTGCTGTATAAGCGAATAGGTTACTCAAGGCAATTCAAATCGATTCTAATATGTGCAACTTATGATTGATAATACACCTGTGTATTCCTCATCAACCTTATGAAGTCTAAAAGGCTTAAATGGAGAGTGTAATAAATGCATTAAATAAGAAGTAGATTGCATTGTAAAATAAAAATATCTCTAAGGATTAGATTGGAATCATCAATAGTAATAGAAAACCCTACCTTTGCTTAATGCCTCCTTAGCATAGTTAAAGAAGAACAGAAAAGATTAATAAAGTTATGATCAGCCTAAGAATATTAAGATTATATACTTAAAAAGAACTCCCACTCAATTAAAATAAGTGGCTATGGAGTTGAAGAAGATTGTCTACGAACCCAATATTTCAATTCTTGGCTCCAGAGATCAATATTGTATCTGAGAGGATTTCACTATGCCCAAAGGGACTATCTTGTATCAAAGCTGTCGAAAATCAATAAAGGCAAATTAATGCTAATTTTATAATAAAGAACCCCTTATTCTTATGGCTCAAAGTTAAAGTACCTTAGTTAACAGTTTTGGAAGAAGCCAAATAGTTTATCCTTAAAAATAAATTGTATCCTTATTATTTTGATAGAGAGAGGTTGAATATGGAAAATCTCGTTTTGCAGTCCCACAACTATCTATTAGAGAAAGACTATTTGGAAATTGAGTATAAATAGAGAATTCAATTTTAATATTTAACGAAGCTCATAATGTGTAATCTACCTCTGAAGATTGTTCATCATCTTTTATTACTCTATTGATATTGTTGAAGCAGATAAAGATATTTAGAAATGGATTGATGAATTAGAATCATGCACGACTTTATGTGATTAATTGAAAACTAATAAAATCAGCCAAAGTCTCTTCACAAATGGAAGAATTTAGATCTATTATGATTATAATTAGAGTATTTACTGAAAATTTGGAGTCATTTTAAAAATAATCAATAATTTGACTAAGTACTCAGGTGTAAAATGATATTGATACTCACAAAAGGTGCCTCATGTTTGCAGTTCAAAGAGGCAAGCTTATTAAGGAATAGACCTTTCTGATGAATTGTGCAGATCTATCCTCTTAGTCGGTGTTTCCTATCCATCAATAGTAGATAATCAATTTATAGAAAAAATGAACTACTTTGATAGGAACTTCAAAGTTTTAGAATTCGATAATAAATAAAGAATATTAAAAAAACTATTCGTGTCACAAACAAGCTATTAGAAGAAGTATTCAAGATATCAATGATTATGGGTATAAATATTTTATTAATAATTTTAGAATTGGTTATTTATGTGATAAAAGATTTGAATACAAAGAAATTAAAACAAAGATTACCAAATAGGCATAACAGCTATCTAGCCATGGATCAATGATGACGATGAGATTCTGCAAACCAATAAATTCTTCACCAGCTTAAGCTCAACATTCATTTAATAATATGAAACTATATTAGATTGCATAATTCAATATCATTATTAATGAATATAAGTATATCTCATTATTTCGACAATTAAAATCTTTTGGCAAAATTTACATTCAAGTCGTCGAATTACTTTTCCTCGAATTTTTCTCTGTATTGTAATCTTGTAAAAATAGATTGAGGTAAATCATATTTTAAGGATTTATTGAATTCAACATGTTACCCATATGCCATCACAGTAAAGGAAGCATAACAAGTTGCCACTATGTAATATTTGTAAAATACAAATGACTTTTGAGATTGATTTACTAAAGTACCAACTTAATAATGCAGCATTTGATACAACTAAAAAGAATGTTTCATGGAGATATTACTACGGCAATAGCTCCTTACGAGCATAAAAGTAATTTGACATTTATATCTGAAATAATTTTCTTGCAAAATATGGTTACTCTTTTGTAAGACTTTTTTAAAATCTGGGTTCCTCCATTTGTTTAATTTATAAATAAGTATTTATCTTATTACATTATAAAATTTCATTCAGGGTTCAAAAATCAGAATGGAGGGGATTTTCATCGATGGCTTGAGAAGATTATAGATGGTTACCTCTTGTTTTTGATACCAAAAAATTAAAGGAAATGGTTTCTAAATTTTATTGTATAGAAACTACTCAACTCTTAAGCACTCTTATTTAAGTTTGCAATCAGAGATATTTCCATAATATCATAAATTTATGAAAACACATAGCACATATTAGCAATCAATAAATTCTATTTTTTTGAAGAAAATTAATATAATAATGCAATTATATATTTATATTTAAGAATTTATCAAGCAATGGCCTTTACTTCTATCCCATGATTTACAATAGGGATCTTGAAAATAAATTGATTGGGTAAAAGAATAAAAGAAATATAAATATCCAAATTTTATAAATTTATCAGAAACAAAGAAAAGATGTTGATGATTGATTTTTGGATCAGATTATCGAACCTTAAGTTCGAAAACTCACCTTATAAACTTTAAACAATAAGGAAATTTTCATGAGCTAATTTAATTCTAAACTTGTTATTCATTACTCATATACCTCTTGAAATTATTTAATTCCTTACAACAATTTATAAAGATTAAAAAGTTGATTTCTACCTAGCAAATAATGTTATACTGCATGAATGATTATTTAAGAACTAACACTTCGCTCAAAAAAAAAACTAAAACAATCTCTACAAATTTCATTTATTAGCACGAGACTTTAAAATTCACCAGTAGTTTCATTATAAATGGGCTTATACTCTACTTTCTATTAGTTTAAACAATCAATAAAATTGCATATCATTAAATAGATATTATAGAAGAATTTCCTTAATTTTTAAAGCCTCAGAGTTTTTCAACTAAATTTTTTTCACAATTATCTATATTGTAAAATTTGATTATGTGAAAATAGAAATTTAATATAATCTATTAGGTAATAAAATGGCTTTCTTATTTTTGGTAAATTCTATTTCTTTGAGTTCTCGTTTTTAAAGTGATTTCTTACTATTGGATTAATAAGGATTTTTTATTTTTACTTTTGTTATAATGAGTTTTAACATATTCTGAGACAATTTGGTTCAGTGTTTATCATCAATCAGTAATTATAAAGAAGATTAATTATATATAGCTTTTATTTGTTAGGACATTTTGTTATAATATTATTAAATACATTATTATTAATTATAATTTTATAATAAGGTTAACATTTCATTGTATTCTAAAATAGTTATCAAGTTGATTTATTTCCAAAATATTAATTCATTCTCTCAGTAAAAATTAAGCAATAAATAAGAGATAACTGTTTAGTACAATTTTTTGAATCCAGTTGATCTCACAGAAAATATGAGAATTGAGTATTAATTCAAATGAATGATATCTTATAAATAATATTATGAATAAAAAAATAGTACACACATATAACAAAATCTCAGATGTTTTTTCAAGGGCCTAAATAAAAAATGCTGTCGAATCCCTTGATAATTACCAGGATAGACTTAAGTTAATTGACTCAGTCATTGACAGAAGGCAATAGATTATTCAGGTTAATGATTTATCTAAAATGTCTAAATATGCTCATCTTTTTAGAAGGATGATTCATAGATATCGAAGTAAAAAGGAGGGCTAAGCAGCTAATCAAAGATTATAAATGCGGATGGTTGTGAGCGTATTTGCTTCTCAAGAAAAATAACCATCGCCATGTTTATAACCCAAGAATCTCGAATAAAGACAACTAGACCAAAAACGAATAAGAATAAATGAAATATCAGATTAACGTAGGGATGCTATTCTATCTAAAGTGAATCGAACTTAAAAGACCACTAATATGAATTCTGAAAGAAAGAGTTTCAATTAGCGAAGCAATTCCAAAGATGGTTGTCAATTTTCGAATAGAACTTAAAGAGTTTTGAGCTCAATTGATGTAGATAATAGGTATCAAGAAAAAGAACTATATTTATTAACTGGGGAGGATTAAGAGATTAAATCATTATAAAGTAAAATAAAACAAAGTGTAGTCCTTAGAACAAGGATAAACCTTAATCAGAATACTAAAGTATGAAATTCTACTCACTTTAGGATAATGAGAATCTTGTAAGATTGTTGTAAAAATAGAATAGTTCCTTATCCCGTAGATAATATAAGCCATATTCTTAACAGTAAATATAAGATAATTGTGAGAAGGAATAAGAAATTAAAAAATGTGAAAAAATTTAGAATATCCTTAATTAAGAAGAGTCTTTCTTATCATACTCTGAAAATCTTCTAAATTAGCTTTATAAAAAATCGTCTTAAATTCAAAAAAAAGAATCTCAAAGTTAGCATAATCAATAGAAATTAATCAAAACTAATAAAGAAATTATAGAATTATCAAAGATTAAATTGGCATTATAAGTGTCCTGATTAAACAAAATTTTTTATTTATTAATTAAAAAAAATTTGATTTTATCCCTAGTAATATAGATATTAATCTATTTAATAACAATTAATGGTTTTTTGTTAATTTAAAATAATGTATTCATCTCAGAAAAATATAAAGAAAATTTATCTTAATCAGATTTATCTTTATATTTAATTGAATTATTTAATTCAGTAATGTAAAGTATTTTAATTTAAAAATTAAATCAAATTTACATAAATAACAATGAGCATTCACATAAGATATTATTAAGTCAATCAATGTTATTTGAGTTATTTGAGATTTAAGTCAGAAGCGTTTTTAATTTCTCGGTACTAAACAACTAAAATGGTTTGTTGTTATTGTATGATATTAATTTAATTCACTAAACATGACAACACCATAGGATAAATAGATAAAACTTTATGATTATTTTTATTATTTATTATAAAACAATCTAATATCGCCATAAATTTTATAAGAAGTAACTAAATCTTAAATAGATTAGAAATGAAAAAAAAGAAATTCAAGAATAAATATATTAAAATATCATAGGTAATAAAATGAACTGCCTTCCTTTTATAGTGTAACATCTGAAATAGAATTGAACATTATTTAGCATTAAACTAGACTAAAACAATTATAGTAGTTTAAATTTATACTTAATTGTAGAGACTCTTTCGATGTTTTAAATATGAGAAAATTTATTTTCAAGATCAAAATTAATTATGAACTGGTATTTATGTGGATATTAAATATTTTTTCTCTAGATCATTGATTAATAATTTAAATGTCATTAAATTAGTTTCATCTTATTATATTTGAATTATTCTTAAAGGATAGTTAGAAAATTAGATAAGGTATTATCATTTTTTTTTTTGTAAGTTGAGTATTCTAACAATAAATTTTTGAAAGAATTTAAGTATAATTAAAATGCCAAAATCTTAGTGTTAAAATAACAAATCAAGTTGCAACAAAGTGAAAAGTGCTGTGCACTTTAGATCTAAATCATATGCGTATGGTTGTTTAATAAAAAGTATTAAATACTTTCAGGCAAATAATCTCGCCTCTTAAACAAAGTGATCACACAGTATTTCTTAATAAGAAAATCAGCGAATTATTTCTCCAAAATTTAGATTTGAAAGTTGTAGACTGTTTAACAAGAATATCATAATATTTATCCTTATCATTCAGTTTTATAATGAAGTTTAATGTGTCGATTTTCCAAAGTGGCAGAATTATTTGTGCAATCTAAAATTATTAGGGAACACTGAAAAGAAGGTTAGATTTTAATCTCTAATGCTATAGTTTGACACCTTTTAAAATTATAAATGGTTGGATTTGATTTTTAATCTTGTTTTTAATTATCAATCAAACCTGAGTAGATTATTTTAAAGTCAAATATTGTTTACAGATAATAATTTAAGTTATTTAGGAATCTAATTTTGGATAAATTTTTGATCAACATTAAGGTTAATTTTTAATGAAAGATATTCTAGCAGATTCTTATTTATTAATTAATACTAGTTATATTTAATAATGATGGAATTCAATCTCACCACCTTTGATAACAATTACAAAGTAGTGATTGAGATTTTCTTTTACTATTTTATATATTTTTGTCTCTATAAATTCTGCATAAAAAATAAAATAAATTTAAATACTTAATTATTTTTAGCAGATGTAAGAATTGACAAGTATCTCATAAAATAATGATGATGAATTGAATTCTACTTGCTAGTCTATATAAGTCCCAGGGTTTAAAAGGCACTTTGGAAATAATTTGACATTATTTCATATTTGGGGTGAACCATTAATAACTATTGGACCACATTGTAAAACATTTATAAATGATTAGTTTAGGGCCTTTAACATTATGCATGATTATTTCATTTGGTGGAGCTAGCTATTTATTAATTTACGAGATAGCTATTAGAAAAGGACTTTATGTTTATTACTTTTCAATTTTTATAGCAGCACTTTAGATGTTTAGTTACTTAATGACTGCTTTAAAAAATCCAGGCATTGTGACTAGTTCTAGAGAATACAAAGGGATATTATAATGTATAGTAAGAAATATATATAATTAAAACCTTATTAGGTTTGTAATAATCCAAGAAATGTAGGTTCATTATATCACTGCGAAGATTGTGATGTTTGCATTTCAGGATTTGATCATCATTGTCCTTGGACAGGAAAATGTATAGGAAGAGGAAACATTGGTTCCTTTTATATATTCGTAACTATGATCCCGATATATATTGTATATTTCATCATAGTTTCCCTATTATGATTAATAAAATAATATATTCAATCAATTTTTTGTTTTTTGATTGCTTAATCTTCTTCTAATTCAACAATTTTCCTAAAAATTAAATATTAACAAAAGTACCTTTGAATAGCTTTAGATTTTGGTCCATGTCCTTCCAAATTAGGGTAGAACATTTTAGCAGTGTTGAAAGTCGGTTTGAATGTAAAGTCAGGTGTATGAGTTGTTTCAGAAGTCAAAATTGTATAAGCTGGAGTGTTCTCTTGAATACCTTTTAAATAATTTTCACCGTATTTTATTTTTTTCTAAGTATAAAATCAATATTACCCAAGTTTTTATGATATCATAAATTGCTTAATTAGGAGCATTAGTCTTATAGAGGTCTACTTAAAGATAGCATTAAGCAATTTTGAAACCTAAAGATTGAAATCCAGCACTAAAATCAATTAAATTATTTACAATATTTCCTTTTTACTGATATTTGTGCATTTCAAATTAGATGCCAAGTAAGTCATATTATAAGAATAGGGATTTGAAGAAACTTCATTTTAATTAACAATTCCTGTCAATTTTCCTTATATCTAATCAAAGGATTAGAAATGAGTATGCCCAGTTTCTAGATTGGTTAACATTTTCTTGATAAAGTGAATGTCATTTATTTCATCTATCCATACAGGACCATTAATTTTGAACAAACTTCCACAAACCTCACATTTGGATGGGATGGGTTTTTTATTGATTTTGTAACCTTTATCTTCCTTTTAACCATAAGGATAAACATGAAATGATTAGCAAGATTAACAGAAAAATAAATTACCAATTTGAGAAAATAGCTTATGAGTCTGACATTTATCCTTTGTTACATGTACAAAAACCCTGAGGTAAAACTCTCCATAAAATGAAAATAACGGCTTAATTGCTTTACCTAATCTACCAGCTGCCTGACTAATTGTATATAGCAAAGTTCTTAATCCGTTCTCGGCAAAACAATTCATCTTAGTTCTTGCTGTACCGTATTACTAGTATAGAAGTATAAATCATACAGCAAAACACTTTTAAGTATCAGGACCACATAATACTCGGCTATCTGTACAAGTGATACATAATAATGAGTCATCACAAGAATGAATGGCTGAATCTAAGAATGGGCAAACTGTTCCATAAGGATCTAAGTCTATAACATCAAATTTGATTTCTTCTTTCATTAATTTGTTTGCATCCATGTTGTATATTTTCACATTGCTAACATTATTGAGTTTTATATTCTCATCAATTAATGCTAAACTTGCTAATGAAAGATCATTTGCGTAGATTTCTTTAACATTTTATATTTCCTATGCAAATCTAACACTTCTCAACCCAGACGCAGACAAGGCATCTAAAATTGTAATTGGTTAGCGATTTTCTTAGAAAGTATCTATAACCAATACTGTCAAATCACGATTGATGATTTGTGCAGGATTGTAGAATACTTCTTCTTCAATCAATTTGCCTTCTTTTTTTTCTACTCTCTTCGTTTAAATGAGGGCTTTTCCTTCTTTTATGAATCTTTAACCATCTTTTTCAATAAACATTGACAATTCTTTCACAATTTATTTCATTTAAATTATTTTTTTAATAAAATCAAAATGTATGAAGCTCACAAATAATTAAATATAATAAAATAATGATATGATATGATTTGTGATTTATTACTCTTTATATTTTCATTTCATTGTAGGCATTGCTGTGCTTAATGTATAGCTGTCAGATGGCTCTTTCCATCTCGAAGTGATTGTTTTCATCTAAGTGAAAAATCTTATACCAGCTTTGCCATAGAAATTAGCATCACCATTAAAGGATCTCTTATTTCCAGTGAAAGAAAACATAGGCAAAGGAACTGGGATTGGTAAATTGATACCAATTTAACCTGCACTCACTTCATTTTAGAATTTTCTGGCAATTGATCCATTTTATGTGAAAATGGCTGTTCCATTACCCCATGGATTGCTAAAGATATAAAAATGTAATTACTTATTAATAATCTCTATTGCTTAATCAAGAGTGTCAGCATACAAAATATTAAGAACTGGACCAAAGATTTCTTCTTTGTATGATGTCATATTAGTGTTCATCTTCAAATAGGATAATTATATACATTATCAATTACAGTAGGACCAACAAAATAACCTTTTGGATACTTTGGATGCTTGAATGATCTTCCATCCAAAATTAATTTACCTCCTTCTTTTTCTGCTGTGCCCACTAAATAATGAATTCTTTCGTATAATTCTTTATATGAAACCGGAGCTATGTCTATATTTTCATGTCCAGGTCCTACTTTGAAAGATTTAGCTTTAGCAATCAGATCAGGAATCCATTCTCTGCTCTTTCCTACAAAAATAGCAACGCTCAAAGCCATGCATCTTTAGCCAGTTGAGCCAAAAGCTGCAGAAGCCAAAGCATTCAAACAATCCTCCTTATCAGCATCTGGCATAATAACACCATGATTCTTAGCCCCCATATTTATTTGACATCTCTTAAATGTTTTTGATGCATTTTCATAGATATAATCACCAGCTTTATTTCCTCCTACAAAAGAAACAGCTTTAATATCAGGATGTTCGCAGATATGTTTTGTTGTTTCAAAACCTCCTTATACTATATTGACAACTCCTTTAGGAACTCCGGATTCCTCTAGTAATTTAGTCAAATAAGTGACTGCCCCTGGTACTCTCTCACTTGGTTTCAACACATATGTGTTTCCTGTTACAATTGCGATTGGGAACATCCATAACTAAAATGAAAATCTATAAATATACTGGAATCATTGCGGGGAAATTAAAAGGACAAACTCCTGCGCAAACTCCCAATGGTACTCTATAACTATATGTGTCAACGCCTTTGGCCAAATTTTCCACTGTTTCACCCTACATTACATGAGTAATTCCACAAGCAGCCTCCACAACTTCCAAGCCTCTGATTACATCACCTTTAGCATCAGCCAAAGTTTTTCCATGCTCTTCTACTATTATATTAGCAATATCATCAACTTTAGATCTGATCCTGGCTTAATACTCAAACATATATCTAAGGTAATATTTATCATTTACCTTTATCTGGTTGGTAATGGCACTTAAGACCATGTTTTAAATGCTGTTTTTGCTGCATCAACTGCCTCATTGAATTCAGCTTAGGTTGTTTACTTTGTTATTCCAACAACTTCATCAGTCAAAGGGGACCTTCTTTCCAAAGCTATACCTCCATTTGATGTTTTCCAAACTCCATTAATGTAATTCTAAGCAATATTGCTGAATCTAAAGGATTGCTTTCTCAGCTAGGTGTGGAACATTAATAAATATTTGCGTATTATTTTAAATCTTTTTACTCGAATATTAACTATTAAACACACATACAATATTAAATTTTATAATGTATCTAATGATTTTAATTCTTATTCATTTCACTTAACTAATTTTTCTCCCAATTATGGATATTTTAAATAATTGTTCTTTTCTCTGAATCTCAACCTTATCTACATATTTTAAAGAATTACAAATTAATTATATATTATTATTTCTGAATTTGAAATCAAAAAGTAATAAAAATATAAAATAAATCCTCAATTAATTGCATCATAAAATAGAGATATTATTAAATGAAGCTACTCATCTTTATTATTTAAAGCATCAACATAATATTGATTTAAGGCTTACAAGTCGTTCTAATGCTTCTCTGTGATTTCTTGCATTTAATCTGACGATTTATTATTCAGGATTATGGAATTTAATTTCTAGATTTATTCATTTTATTTAATTGTTTATTTGCACAAATCTATAAAATTTTAATTTTATTATTCTCTCATTTCATTGATTTCTCTATCTCTTTATTCTGACTACTGCTAATAGTATTTTAGTTACTTTCATATGATATATAAAATACTTCTTAAATTACCTATTAATCTTAATGTCGTTCAAATTACTTTGCCATTGAGTTTCTCCTTGAATGTGAACTCTATTAATAACAACTCAATTATTTTTCCAACAGAGTTATCTATTTTGATTTCTCAGTTAATTATAATTGCAATTTCGTCACATTTGTTTCATCTGTGTATTTTAATGATTAATTATTATGAGAAATAGCGTGATCTATCTCAGATTTATTTTAAGATTAGAAAAAATCAAAACATGTTGATTTTGGGGACTGTCCAAATCTTTAATCAATTTCAACTATATAACTGTTGTTCGATGAATAAACTCCTTAATGTCTTAAACTCTCAAAAGGCAATTTCCTTTCATATTAATTCATATTTTAATATTCTTCTAATTCAAATTTAAACTTCTCCATCTTCTTTTTAAAAGATGCAGCTTCCTTTTCTGACTCCTTAAGTTTATTTTCTAATTATTTTAACTCTGACTAATACAAAACTTATTTATATTCTAATTTATCTTTGTGCTCTTCTTTCATTTTTTGAATTTTAGAATTTAATTTTTCTATAGTCATTTATTCCTTCGGATCTTTCACAATAATCTATTATTATTCTGGCTCTATTGATCTTGCTGTTGGTGGGCAAGACAATAGCTATGATTTCAGGGTTTAGTTCTTTTATTGCACTTTGGCTATCTCCTTCTATTAGTTTTAAACCAGTTAATTCAAATCTTCAATTATTTGCTTGCTATCCTCAATTTCTTTTAGGAATTCCTCAAATTTATTGAATACTTCTTCAAAATCACAACAATTTAGCTTTTATAAACAGAACAATTCCGAGTCGTATAATTATTCATATAGTTCATTCAATTATGTAATTTTGTTTTGTTGATCACTGATTTTACTTTGATATTCTGTTTTCATTAATTCAAATTACTTATTTTGTTGGGCGATAATATTTTCTTTTGTATTTAGATTTTCTTCCAAGGAGATAATAGTATTTGTAGTCTAATGTTCAAAATATCCACAATCTTGAAAGGTGCCAATGTCATTAATTTAATTCTAGACCAACCCCATTATTTCTTATTATTATTGGGGCAATAATTATTACATCATTACTACTAATTCTTCCTAATTTGCTCTCAACAGAGTGTCAATAAAATACTGTATAAATTTAAGCAATTCTAAATTACAATCTGAAAGTGATATGTCATCATCAAAATTTCTAATTTCTAGTTTGCATTTTTTCCTTGCTAATTAGATATTTTTAATTATTAGGTTCCAAAATGGTCTTCTGAAGTCATATCCTAAACTAAAAACATTTTGCAGTGTATATATACTAATCTTCTATTAATTAAGCAAATAAAATGCCATCTTAAATTTCAGAAAAGTTATGTATCTGCCTTTTTTAGTAATTCCATTTGTTTAGCTATATCAATAGTGATTATTCTTACAAGTGTTATAGCACTTTTCATTATTAAAATAAAATTTGATAATAAATATTATATGTATTGAAGAAAGTCTTTTATTATGAAAGTTTTCTCATTTTGAATTGTTTAAATTACTTATTTACTATTAAATATTGTGAAATGCAATCTTGGTAATAATTTTATCAGACTTAACCAAACCTTGTGTCCCTATTTACATCAAGATGTTTACTTCATTTTCAAGAGTGAATAATTGAAATGGATTCACAATTAGTAGCATTACTTTATTTAATAACATTGCTCCCTATTTTTCCGAATATTTATTCCAACAGCAAAACAATATTACAAATCTGGAGAAAACTTCTGACCTACCTTTAGGCAGAGTAATAATATTGAACTTTTTCTATTAATCGTGGATAAGCCATTTTTCTTATATTTATCTTATTCAAGATTATAACCAATAAAAGTGAATATCAATCTAAAGAGATATATTAATAAATTAACTAATAGATAAATGTAAACAGTATGTTAAGAATCATTATAATATCACGAATTTCGCAGATAATGATAAATTTATTCTTCAAGTGCTTCGCTCCTCTTTTTGTGTAAAATCAAAATATATTATTGGTCTTGAAATTCTCAAAACCAAGAAAAATATATATAAAAACATACCATAAACATAGGTTGTACTCTTTATCCTCAGAAAAGATCTTAAATGTACTTTAGGTTCAAATTTTGAGTCATTTAGCCAATTCTCAATTTAGTTAATTGGAAAAACCCTTAACAATAAAATTAAATATAGATTTCTAAGAAAATACCAAAAAACAAGGGTGGAAATGTGTTTAGTATTTATATTTTTCATTATTATTCTTATCTTGATCGGATACCTTTTAAATGAGTAATCCAATTACTATCACATTTAGGTAAGTAGTAAGTTTTAGAAGATTTCTCTGCTTTTTGAGTCGATACATTTCTTTCTATTTGATAATATGCAGTTTGAATGACTCTGGCTGAATTCATCTAATTTTCTATTTTTTATTCCTAAATTATTGAATTGGCTTTCAATCTTGGGGTTGATTAAGATTGATCATTTTAAAGAGTGCTTAAATAAATTTGTTTCCTTTTTGGTTATGCTTTAAAATATTTATACTGAGCTCCAATTAAAGTTGGATCTACTTTAAGATGAACCTTTACATTTTTCTTTTGGACGATAACTAATTGAAGGTCTAGTTTTTTACTCAATAGAAGTGCTAACTCTTTACTATTTATTTTAGGTTTTCATAAGTTTATCAACCATTTTTTTATTGCAGAGAGCTAAAAGATATTTATGAATATCATGAATTTTATTTGATTCTTTTCCTATTGCATAATATTCAAACATTTATAATAATTTATCATATAAACTATTGTGATTTTAAGAGTAGATTGGAAAAAAATCAAAATTACAAATCGACATAAAATTATTAATTAAGAATGGATTATCCCTTCATGCTTGATCTTAATGAGAATCTAAATTTACATAAAAGTTTGGAACTAGTTTCGAAGTCAATGAGCAATAATTTTATTTAAAATCAGTGTTCCATCAAAAAGAAATAATTGAAAATCGTTGTGAAACTTTAACTGAGGCTTTTTCTGTTCCTAAACAATTTCGAATGATTCTGTGAAAGTCTTAAATGGTTATTTTTAGTGAATTTATATTAAGGGTTTAATAACAACATATCGAGTGAGAACTTTTTTTTTTACTAAAATACACTAACAATTCACTCTAAAGTTCTATAATTCTTGTGATTTTCTTTTTTTGAAAACTTTCTCTCAATAAAATAATTATAAATCAACTGTTTTCATTCTAATCTTGTTTCTATTAGCGAAGTCAAATTTTAGATATTATTTTTTGGTATGAGCTTTCTTTTTCATCTTAATGCTTTACTAAATCAAGTCTCAAGATATTATAATTTATCTATATTGGAAAATACGATAAAGGTTTAACTTAAAGCTTTAATATCTTTTTTCATAAAATTTAAATAATTTATTAAAGGGAGAAATTGATTTCAAACAATCAATATATTCAATATTTANATTCTCAATTTAGTTAATTGGAAAAACCCTTAACAATAAAATTAAATATAGATTTCTAAGAAAATACCAAAAAACAAGGGTGGAAATGTGTTTAGTATTTATATTTTTCATTATTATTCTTATCTTGATCGGATACCTTTTAAATGAGTAATCCAATTACTATCACATTTAGGTAAGTAGTAAGTTTTAGAAGATTTCTCTGCTTTTTGAGTCGATACATTTCTTTCTATTTGATAATATGCAGTTTGAATGACTCTGGCTGAATTCATCTAATTTTCTATTTTTTATTCCTAAATTATTGAATTGGCTTTCAATCTTGGGGTTGATTAAGATTGATCATTTTAAAGAGTGCTTAAATAAATTTGTTTCCTTTTTGGTTATGCTTTAAAATATTTATACTGAGCTCCAATTAAAGTTGGATCTACTTTAAGATGAACCTTTACATTTTTCTTTTGGACGATAACTAATTGAAGGTCTAGTTTTTTACTCAATAGAAGTGCTAACTCTTTACTATTTATTTTAGGTTTTCATAAGTTTATCAACCATTTTTTTATTGCAGAGAGCTAAAAGATATTTATGAATATCATGAATTTTATTTGATTCTTTTCCTATTGCATAATATTCAAACATTTATAATAATTTATCATATAAACTATTGTGATTTTAAGAGTAGATTGGAAAAAAATCAAAATTACAAATCGACATAAAATTATTAATTAAGAATGGATTATCCCTTCATGCTTGATCTTAATGAGAATCTAAATTTACATAAAAGTTTGGAACTAGTTTCGAAGTCAATGAGCAATAATTTTATTTAAAATCAGTGTTCCATCAAAAAGAAATAATTGAAAATCGTTGTGAAACTTTAACTGAGGCTTTTTCTGTTCCTAAACAATTTCGAATGATTCTGTGAAAGTCTTAAATGGTTATTTTTAGTGAATTTATATTAAGGGTTTAATAACAACATATCGAGTGAGAACTTTTTTTTTTACTAAAATACACTAACAATTCACTCTAAAGTTCTATAATTCTTGTGATTTTCTTTTTTTGAAAACTTTCTCTCAATAAAATAATTATAAATCAACTGTTTTCATTCTAATCTTGTTTCTATTAGCGAAGTCAAATTTTAGATATTATTTTTTGGTATGAGCTTTCTTTTTCATCTTAATGCTTTACTAAATCAAGTCTCAAGATATTATAATTTATCTATATTGGAAAATACGATAAAGGTTTAACTTAAAGCTTTAATATCTTTTTTCATAAAATTTAAATAATTTATTAAAGGGAGAAATTGATTTCAAACAATCAATATATTCAATATTTACATTATATCAAAATGTAAGTAAGATTGAAAACAAATACAATTGTTTTTTATTCTAATAATATGAATAAATCAATAGTTTTCCTTATTATTAATAATTTTTAGAGTGAATTTATTCTGAATTTAATAAGTATGTATATCAAGATTAAGAAAACACTGACTAAGTTTCATGAATTTAGTATTTTTTTAAAATAATTAAATCAATTACATAAATATTTATTTTTAATTTTAGAAGACTTTAAATGGAAATTCAATAAATTTTGACAAAAATGTTCTCCTTTCCACTTTGTATAGATCACTTTTTCATTGTTGATTAAAAAAATGAATTTGAATGGAAATTAATTTAATCTTTTTCATACTAGACCATTAATCATTCTATTCATGAATAATTTGATCGATATTTAAATTTACAAATTCTGCCATATTAGGCCATTTAATAAGTGTTTTAAGAGTTAAATAAGGTAAATGAAATTATTTAGCTTGTAATCAAAATTAGAAAGGACATTATTTACACTTAGTATAAAGAATCAAACACAAGTAATTTATTCTTAAAACTAGATGACACATGTTCAATGTTTGGAACATATTAAAACTTATAAAACTATCTTAGTAAATATTTTGAAACAGAAATGAAACCGTAATATAGGAAGTATTAGTTAACTAAATATGGAATTATAGATTTATTAGTTTTTAGTTTCTTACATAAAAGCAGAAGTTTTCATAGAGTAATTACAAAAGGAATAGCTCCTTAAATATCATGTTTGTATAGTTGGTATTAGGAATTTATTGCAGAATTTGAAATCAACAACAATATTGATCCTAATTATCTCCCAAGGAAGGAGAAAAGAGTTTAAATATAGAAAAACAAATAGCAAAAAAGTAACCCTGAACTAATAGAATCCATAAAGGATGACAAACTTATTATTTTTAAAGATCTAATTGAGAATGGTGCTTCCATTTACACTGTATCTTTAAGAGATAAGGAGAAAATGCTTGTTCCTCATTTAGTGTGTGCATTTGCAAGATTAAATTATGCATAATATTTATAAAGTAAAAATGTGGATTGGGAATGTGAAGATGATGACAGAATGACTCCTTTATTCTATGCTATCAGAAGTGAATCTATAGAAATGATTGAATATCTACTTAACCAAAAAGTAAACTTAGAACACAAAGATATTTAAGATAGAACTCCATTTTATTATGCTTGTTCCTTAGGACAATTATTTATTATTAGGTTCCTTGTGGAAAAAGGAGCTAATATAAATGCTAGAACTGCTTTGGGAAGAACTCCATTTTCTAAGGCTAGCTTTTTAGGATTATATAATGTGATTGAATTTCTTCTTCAATAACCAAACATAGACTTTAATTATGCGGATAAGCAAGGAAGAAATGCCTTACATAATGCAGTTTTTGGCCCTAAAGGAGGTAGAGATGGAAGAAAGGTTGGCACTTGGTGTTATGATAGTCCTTTGATTGCTTAATTATTACTTGAACATGGAATGAATGTGGAAGCAAAAGACAAAGATGACAATACGCCATTACATGTGGCAGCATCAAGTGAAGCTTTAAGTTCGATTCCTGTTCTTATAGCTTTTGGTTGTGATATCAATAGAAGAAATAAATGGGGAGAAACTGCCTTAATAATAGCAGCAAAATTTAATCATCATGAAACTGCTAAATTATTGATTTAAAATGAAGCCGATTATTTCTTAGAAAACGAGGGATACACAGCAATGGAAATTGCTGCAAAAAATGATTAGTTTGAAGTATTTCAATTTCTGCTAGATAAAATGAAACCAAAATTATTGTAATTAGAAAATTTAAGAAAATATAAGTTGCAATCAGTTCTCTAATCTTTAATGAATATTACCAAGAGTTTCAAAGCAAATAAATATATAAGATATTTCTTAGAAAATTTCTAACCAAATTATGATTAGGAACATGCAGGATTGATAATTGAGATGCAAGACGGATAAATCGAACTTATGTAAAGTTATTTAAAAAATTAAATTATCTCATAAGAATAAATAACTAATGCTTTCGAACTTTGTTTGAAAAGAAAAAACATGTCAATTTTCAAATAATTATGCCTTCATACCTAAATCCAATATACAGTCTGCCTTTAAAAGTCATTAATTGTGATGTTGCTCGAATCAACAGAATTAGATATATTACTTTTTTAATTTAACATCGATTGGTTTAACTATAGAAGCAAATTGGGTGAAACATTTTTACATAAACTTATAGAGAAGAGAAAGACTGAATCTCTTTTAAAAATACTACATTTATTTTAAGAAATAATTGATTAATAGTGTAAAAGCAAAGTTAAAAATATCTTTTTAAATTCTATTACCTAAAATGATATTTATAATTTTTTAATATTCTAGAATTCTGGTGCATCTACAATCATCGAAATAGCTATAATTCATAAATTTATGGATATATATCAAATGCTTGACAATTTTATTTCAATGAACTATGGTTCAAAGTAAGGACTCAAATTTAAATTGATTAATTATTCTATTGAATTAGATCATCTTACGAAGTTACCTCAACTTTAACTCTAAGCTGAGGAAAATTATAAATTTATCAAAAAGTTTTCAGAAATAACATTATTAACAGAAAAAGAATTGTAATTTTTTGAGACAGTCTTAAGAGAACATAAATATGGTAAAATTAATTTATCTTAATTTTATTCATAAATTTAATCCTAAAAATAAGTCATTGTTGTTGAATCAGAGGATCATCTATAGTAGTGTTGTATTGATATCATTCAAAATTACACTATTTTGGGAGTTGATATTGAGCATTATTCTGATAAAGTAGACGATTTTAAAATATCCTTTGCTTGCACTATTTAATTATCTACTGTAGAAATGGATTATATAATAGATGTTATGAAATTGAGGCATGTTTGTAATAAGTATTTAACTCCTATTTTTGAGAATTAAAAATTATTAAAGATTTTTCATGGTTGCGAAGTGGATTTCAGAGTGCTTTTTAGTGATTTAAAAATAATTGTTAAAAATATATTAGACACTAGCAAAATTGATATGGCTTTAATTAAATCACCTAATGCTTAGTCTTTAGAAAAATTATGCAAGCAATATTTAAACATCCATTTAGACAAGCTTTATCAAACATCTGATTGGAGGATAAGACCTTTACCGCAATAAATGATCGAATATGCAAGACTTGATTCAGCTAGTTTATTATTTTTATACCCAATATTGATAGATGAGGTAATTGTCAAATATATTCTTAAGTGCAGAAAATCTAATCTTGTCACCAAAGTTTTCAATTAGTGCCAAAAATTGAGTTTGATAACACAATATCCATTAATAAATATTATAAATAAAGATTGATATTTATGATCTTGAACTTCCATACTGAATTTGGTCTAACTTCAAGGACTTCTTTAGGCTTTCTAAAATTAGAAATTGTATATATATTTCTTCAAATTGCTTTTCTTAACTAAAACTTTCTGTTTAAAATTTGATCCAACTTAATGTTATAATGTTGTTTATAAATTCAAGAGTCTATTGTTACTCTAATTTGATTTTCGAATCAAACTTTCAAGTTTACTCTTTTCTTAAGGAATATCATATCTAATATCACTGATAAAGCAAAGCTCAATTATTTTGATTAGCTAATAATAATATGATTTACTGTAATCAAAGCAACAATTATATTAAAGCTGTTCTGATCCAAATGCCAAAACAGTTGTACATTTTATTCTATGAAGAATAAACAAATGCTAATCCAATTCGTCTAAGGTGAAGTAGAAGAGAAATTAGGAAAAAGGTAAGGAATAAGATTATATTTAATTCAACAAANTGAATCTCTTTTAAAAATACTACATTTATTTTAAGAAATAATTGATTAATAGTGTAAAAGCAAAGTTAAAAATATCTTTTTAAATTCTATTACCTAAAATGATATTTATAATTTTTTAATATTCTAGAATTCTGGTGCATCTACAATCATCGAAATAGCTATAATTCATAAATTTATGGATATATATCAAATGCTTGACAATTTTATTTCAATGAACTATGGTTCAAAGTAAGGACTCAAATTTAAATTGATTAATTATTCTATTGAATTAGATCATCTTACGAAGTTACCTCAACTTTAACTCTAAGCTGAGGAAAATTATAAATTTATCAAAAAGTTTTCAGAAATAACATTATTAACAGAAAAAGAATTGTAATTTTTTGAGACAGTCTTAAGAGAACATAAATATGGTAAAATTAATTTATCTTAATTTTATTCATAAATTTAATCCTAAAAATAAGTCATTGTTGTTGAATCAGAGGATCATCTATAGTAGTGTTGTATTGATATCATTCAAAATTACACTATTTTGGGAGTTGATATTGAGCATTATTCTGATAAAGTAGACGATTTTAAAATATCCTTTGCTTGCACTATTTAATTATCTACTGTAGAAATGGATTATATAATAGATGTTATGAAATTGAGGCATGTTTGTAATAAGTATTTAACTCCTATTTTTGAGAATTAAAAATTATTAAAGATTTTTCATGGTTGCGAAGTGGATTTCAGAGTGCTTTTTAGTGATTTAAAAATAATTGTTAAAAATATATTAGACACTAGCAAAATTGATATGGCTTTAATTAAATCACCTAATGCTTAGTCTTTAGAAAAATTATGCAAGCAATATTTAAACATCCATTTAGACAAGCTTTATCAAACATCTGATTGGAGGATAAGACCTTTACCGCAATAAATGATCGAATATGCAAGACTTGATTCAGCTAGTTTATTATTTTTATACCCAATATTGATAGATGAGGTAATTGTCAAATATATTCTTAAGTGCAGAAAATCTAATCTTGTCACCAAAGTTTTCAATTAGTGCCAAAAATTGAGTTTGATAACACAATATCCATTAATAAATATTATAAATAAAGATTGATATTTATGATCTTGAACTTCCATACTGAATTTGGTCTAACTTCAAGGACTTCTTTAGGCTTTCTAAAATTAGAAATTGTATATATATTTCTTCAAATTGCTTTTCTTAACTAAAACTTTCTGTTTAAAATTTGATCCAACTTAATGTTATAATGTTGTTTATAAATTCAAGAGTCTATTGTTACTCTAATTTGATTTTCGAATCAAACTTTCAAGTTTACTCTTTTCTTAAGGAATATCATATCTAATATCACTGATAAAGCAAAGCTCAATTATTTTGATTAGCTAATAATAATATGATTTACTGTAATCAAAGCAACAATTATATTAAAGCTGTTCTGATCCAAATGCCAAAACAGTTGTACATTTTATTCTATGAAGAATAAACAAATGCTAATCCAATTCGTCTAACATTAGAACGTTAAGAGAAAATATAACATTTATGGAATATAAATCAATTTAAGTTAAATTTAAAAATTTATTGTTTTGTAGGGTTAAATTCGTAGTTATAAGGAAGAACAATTTTGTTATTTCTTAATATTCTCAATTATGTTTATGAAATCCAATCTTGGGTAATTTTGTCATTTTATACACAATTAATAAAATTGAATTAGTTGACTATAATTTTTTTGTAGATATTAATTAATTTCTAAAAAAATTCAGGTTGAGGTAAAATTACATAGTTCTTATCTTAATGATTAATAACTGTTCCTTTTATGCAAAATTATTATTGAAAGTAGCTCCTTTAGATGTAATTCATATAGAGCTGATTTAAGATTATTGTTAGGGATGGAGATAATTAACATCTCTAAATCTTATTAGGGTTTAGAATACTTATTGAGTAATTATAATGTAATAGTTTAAATTATTTCTTGGATTAAGTTTTATTCTTTTTTGAAATGTTATCTTTGCTATAAATCTATAATTATCATTTTAAGACACAACCTGTTTACTCTGTTTAGATTATAAATTTAATAGTGTATGTACATCTATAAATATTAATTTAAAATCGTTGTTTCTGACATCTCATTATTTACCAAAAATTTAAATAGTAACAAAAAACAAATATTATTCAAAAATTAAAATTATAATTGTAATGTTTTTAATGAAAATTCAAATTCACTTCTTTTGCAGGTCTTCTAAAAAGCAACTTCCTTTGGATTTAAATAATGGTTTTAAATCTATCCCTTAATAATTCATGAATTGTCCTTATAAGATAAGTGTTCCTGATGCTTGGAATAAAGGATTCTAGCATATTCTAAGTATTGTACAATAAGGATTAACTAAATAATAAGAAACATTACCATTTGGCAATAAGGAGCTATTCTGAAGAGGTATGCTAAACTAGGAAAGCAAATCTTTATAGCTGCTATCTGATTGGAGTATTTCCTTTGATGTTTTTACATTCCAAAGACGAATAGAGTGATCATCACTACCAGAAGTTAATGTATTTCCATCAGGTGAGAAATTGACTGAATAAACTGTTGATGAATGGCCATCTAATTTAGCTATTTATTATCCTGTCTTAACATCCCAGAAACGGATAGAGTTATCATAACTACCAGATGCTAATGTAGTTCCATCAGGAGAGAAACAAATTGATAAAACTGCTTACGAATGACCATCTAATTGTGCTTTTTATTATCCTGTCTTAACATCCCATAAACGGATAGAGTTATCATAACTACCAGATGCTAATGTAGT